GGGTGAGAAGGAGCCGAGCTCAAAGCCAGGCACCAGCCAGACCCCAGTGAGGACACATCCCCTACCCCGTCCCCCTGAGCCCTGCTCCGTGTCTCCATGTCCCCATTCGGTGGCATCCACCCAGGACGTGGAGGTGCTCGGACAGGTCGCTGCCCACACGGTGAATTTCCCCCAACATCTCCAGCCTCGCACACGAGAGCGCAGCAGGAAATGAGGCACATATTTTTAAATAAGGGGAGGAAATGGTGTCTTTGTGTCAGACAAGTGGAAGAAATCCAGGACCAAGAGACTGCAGAGCCTTTCCACTTCAGACAGCAGGTGCTCTCCAAGATGTGGTTATGGCAACAAAATAAATGATGGATAATTGCTTTTGTGACAACTTGCCAATTAAATTAGACTCAGCAGAATAACATAATGACAATTTGTTATGCTCTGGTGGGCACTAACACACCAATCATAATTAAATGCTATGACTGAAATAGAATGCTGCTGTACACAGGAATATATAACCCCAATTCCCTCCCAGTGAAACATTATAGGTTCAGACTTGATTTCAATTTCTGGAGGATAATAGCATTAGCACACATCAGAATGAGCTTGCAATATGCATACAAGCAGCAGCACAGAGACAGCAGCAAGGACAGCCGAGCTGCCCGAGTCCCAGCGGGGACCCTGCGCATCCTTCCTGGCATGGGGGCTCCAAGCAGTGGGGACATGGCCGTGTCCCCACCGTGCCGCGGGCAGGTCTCACGTCCCCGCTGGGCAGCGGGCAGCCAGCCCCGAGCTCCATCCCAGCTCTAGCACCAGGTGAGAGCACACAGGGACAGGGACAGGACATCTCCTATGGTGGGGATCGCGTGGACATCACAGGGGTTGTTACCCCCCAAACTCCAACGCAAGGCCCTTCCCAGGGGGCAGCACTTTGCTCCAGCCTATATGGTTAAAAAATAAAAATGAAAAATTAATTCACTCATTGGAAAACCAAACTGAGAGGTGGTAGGAACCGAGGCTGCAGAACGCAGCCCCCCATGGGTCACAGCACCAAGCCTGCTCCTCCAGGACAGCCAGCAGTTACCCAAATGAAAGCTTTCCGAATCCAGGTGATGCAAAGCAGGCTTTTGCCTTGATCCAAGTGCCAAGTGATGGGACTGCCTCGTACCCAGCTCTAAACAGGTACAGCTTTCTGGAATATTCCATGGTTCAAAATGGGGATAAAGAGAGCAGGTCTGTAGGAAAATTATTCAAAGGCGAAATGTTCGAAATGTTTGCATCTTGTACACAGCAGGTGGGAGACGTGGCCACCCGGTGCTGCCGTGCGTTCAGACCACACAAAAACGGTGCTGGAGCACCACGAAGCTCCCTCCATCTGGGAGGGTTTGAGCTCAGACTGGAAACAAGCAATATTTTAACAGCTCATCTGGAGCTGCCATTTTACACGTTAAATGCCTTACTACCTGCCTTAACGAAGCTTGGCATCGGCACGGGCAGGTCACCTGGCTTTCTGGCACAGCTGGCGAGTTATTCCGCCGGCTCCAAGCACAAGGCCTGATCCTATTAAATCCTTCATTCCCCTGCCCTCAGCACGTACCAGCCGATAATCTGCGGGCGCGTGACCCGCGCCTGGTCGGGATGTGCTGCAGCACGTAGCCCAGTGCTGCTGCCATCGCTCACGCTGCTGTGGCAATGTGGTGGTGGGTATGATAGAGGCGCCTGGCTCCAGTTTTCTACAGTCCACGATGGGCTCTGCTAGAGGGCTGGCCGAGTTCTTCATCCCCAGGTTTTCAGGTGAGGCCTCCAGCTTTAGGAATTGACCTTGGAGAACCTTCAGCCTGGCTCTCAGGGATGTGGAGAGGGTTCCCTCCTGCCTTCCATTGTCTTTCGTTTTTGATGCCTCAAGGAGTAAGGAACCTTGTAACCGATACTTTGGCATTTATTGTCACTTTAAAAATAGCTCGGCAATCAGAAAGAGGAACTGCTACACACACACCACTCATCTTTCAGGAGGAAAGAGGTCAGCAATTTAGCTCAGAAAAGGTCACCCGGCCACTCCGTAATGGGGTGTAGGATTGCAAGACAGCAAAAGCTTTGCTCCAGTCATTAGCAAGTGTTAGAATACCAGGAGACAGGTTTGCCCCGCACAAGGAAATTATTCTAATGCACAACTTGCCCTGCAGAGGCAAAGGGCAGGCGACAAGGTCACATCTGTGGCTTTGCCCCGCAGGAGGCAGGGGCAGCGCGGCACAGCCGGCTGGTAGGGGCCGGCACGGGGAGCAGGGGACAAAGGCGAGGTCCGGGCTGCCCCACACCCTCCTGCTCCCCCTTCTCTCTGCGCCCTGTGCCCACCCATGTACCCTGCTTGGTCCTGAGGGAAACAGATTTCTTTTCACACATTTTTTGGGGCGAAAGCTTGGGCTCCTTTCCATGGTGGTACCAGGCTCTGGGACGAAGGCACGGCCATCATCACCATCGCAGGCATTTTCTGTATTGCGGGGTAATCCAGCCATGCAGGGCAGGGCAGAAGCACGTGAATAAAACCACAGCTAGCAAGAGACCCCTCACCACCCCCACCTTCATCACCGTTATTCTTCTTCATCGCCATTACCATCATCTTCATCACCGCCGCCACCTTCCTCACCAGCACCCCCACCTCCATCCCCCATCACCTCCATCCCCATCACCTCCATCCCCACTCACCTCCATCCCCATCACCTCCATCCCCACCATCCCCTCCATCATCCCCCCCATCCCCATCCCCACCAGGGCCGGCTGCGGGCAGCCTGCGGAGCGCGGCCCCCCCCTAGCGGTGCCGGCCCATTCCCGGCCCCGGCCCCGTTCCCAGCCCCGTTCCCGGTCCCCCCCCGGGTCCACAGAGCTTTTGGGGACCCCTCGGGAGGTCCCGGCACCGTGTCCAAGCCCCCCCCATCCCCTCCAGGACGCTGCCCTTTTGCTGGCTGCGGGTGGGTGGCATTGCAATCCCAGCCAGCACCGCATCCGTCAAACGCGCAGTGTCAAAACACAGAACTCTGCTCTTTGTCTTGTTTTGCCCAAATTGCACCAAACTCCCCGGTTCCCATCCTTTCCCGGCGGCTGAGCCCTGCTGCCTGCAGGCCGTAACGAGGCAGCGGCGCAGAGCAGCCTGCCAGGGAGCCAAAAACTGGCCCCGTCCCGTGAGCTGCCAGGAAATAATTCCCTAATTTGCACCACCATGGAACTGCACCTCCCGTATCACCTCTGCCGGCTCACTGGATGGTTATGCTCACTCATATATTTATTTTTCCAAGCTCAGTAAGGATGCAGGGATGAAGCAGGTTGCAGCAGGTGCCGGGAGGAAAGGCTCTTTCTGTCATCTTGGCAACATTTTAGAGAAGTGACAACAAGCAGGAGGCCTCCAAGCTGTTAATGAAGTGAGTGAGAAACCTCTCCCGTTACGGCGTCCAACTTCAGCGTACTGCTTTGTGTTTGGAAGTATTTCCACTAGCAGTTTTGGGCAAGCCTGGAGCATCATCCACAGTGATAATGCAATGATTTTTTTCAATATATTTACCTCAGTTAAACAAACACTAAAAGCAAAGGCAGAAAGCTGCAGTGTAGGAGGTGTGGGACCGCTGGTCAGCCCTCTGTTGGGCTAGCAACAATTGCTTGGCCCATGCAAGAGAAATTCACATCAGAGCTGCCAGAGTTTTCCTAATGAGGGCAGCTTGCCTTGGCCCTAATCAAAACAGGGTCCTGTGATTTAAAGAAACCCCCCCAATGCTTGCTGCAGATGACTGAAATGCATCGACAACTTACTCTCAGTACGTGCACCTCCTCTCCAGCACAGCCTTGGCCCAAATCCCATTTTAATTGATTTTTTCCTCATTCACTCCCCACCTCTGTTTACATTAGCCCGTCTCCTACCAGTGACCCAGCACAGCGGTTCCCAGACTTGGTCTGCGTGGATACTTGCGCTGCATTCACCTCTGTACGGGGCTGCTACGTGGATTTAGTGATGCAGGCAGCAATCCATGCTCCACGTGGAAGCACCTTGCACAGCCAGGCACCCACACCACCCCCCTCAGCTCTAGATTGCCCGGAGGTCACAGTCACAGAGGCGCTAAGAGAGAGAGGCTGTTGCTCTTCTAATAAAGTCTTGCACCCCTCTAGAATTACTGAGCAGGATTAGAAATAAAGTTTGACCTTCCAAGGATAAGTGAGTAATTCCACTGTAATTGCACTGCAATCAGGAGGTGAATCAAGCCCTACAAAAACAAATGATGGGCAGCTTTAAGTCATACTTTTTTACTGCCATTACAATACAGGTGTGGGAGAGTTTGCTTGAATCGCCTTCAGCAGTGTCACAACACTGTTGTGGAGGAGGGGTCTGGAAGGCAGGTACAAAACCAAAAGGAAATCTTGACCTTTTCCTTTCTGGGGGAGAGCCAGGAGAGGAAGAGGTTTGATTGACATGATTTAAATCTGTTTGTTTTCTTCTTGTTACTGTTTTTCCCTTAGCCTGAAAACAAAATTCTTAATAAGAAACAAGCTAGGCAATCGAGTTCACAGATGTGGGAAAAACGCAAGTCTAATCAGCTCTGAATTCTAGGATTGATTGCTATTTTCCAGCTTTTCTGTGCCCAATTTTCAGTAACTATTTCTGTAACAGCACTCAACTTTGTCTTCAGCAAAGAGTTATAACAGCGCATCCTTCACGCTTCTGAGGTGACTGATGGCATTAAGAGTCACTAAGATTTTCAAAGATCCAAATTAGTTAGTATTATTATACTTTATCCTCTCAGGAATTTAAGCAAGCAATGAAACAGAGAGAACATATCAGAACATTTATATAAATAGCATCTCTTCTGAATTAGCTATAAAAAGATGACACTTCAGACAGCTGTTAGAATGCATCAAACAAACAGCATCGGACACTTCAGCAGCAGGACGGTCACAAACTGTACCGTCACTGCAAGAAGTTAAGAAACATCTTTACTAGTGCAAATGAGACGCCTGAACAGACAGAATTTCCCATTTTAAAGAAAACATTTAATTTTCCACATCAAAAGTTGAGACAACATTCAAAAATCTCGTAACCACAGGCTGTGGGCACACAGGTTCCTGAGCAGGTGAACGCCACCTGCGCGATGTGAGAAGACAACGCTACAGCTGTTAGGACACGGGGCTCTCCTTCTGTGCTTCTGTCAGTTCTGGTTTCTGCTCCTCCACATCTTTCTTCTTTGCCTGCATCTCCTCCAACACGCTTTGAAGTTGCTGATGTAGTACAGAATCCCTGGCCTCAGCATCTTGGTGACTCTGTTGTGTTACCTACAGTTAAAGACAGACACTCACAAAACAAAACCCAACCAAACCAAAGAAATGGCTGCAACAAATTTCTTCCAAAGCACAGCTGAAGAGAGCAACAGAAAGCAACAGCCAGTGCGTGTGTCCAAAAAAGCTGACAGCTAAGTTCTACCTCATGCTTAGGTTATTATCAAAGTACGTGCAGTCTCAAGGTATCACCAGGGCAAGAAATGAAAATGAGATCGCTGACCTCAAGGTAAAATATTAAAGCCAGCTGGCCATTTCATCTTTTCACACGCTCGTTGGACATCTACTTGTAATAGAACCAATTTCTGCTCCTGGTCAGCCTCTTTTATTGAAAAGAGGCTATGGATGCTCAGCCCACGGGTAATTGGACAATTAGGAGAATAGAGAGCACATTTCAGGAGAGAGTAACAGCCGAATTTTGTTTACAGAGCTGCCATTTTTATAAAATCTTTTTCTCCATTTTTTTTGAGGGTGTTCAAACTAAACGGACAGCATTCTCAAAAGAACTGCTTATCTTTCAGACTTGAACAAAGTAAAAAGATTGCTAACCATCACAGAGCAGCAGTGTTCTGCTCTACCTGATGCGCTGTTCTGGAAGCATCAGTTTGCTTTTTTTACCCCATTTTACATTAAGAGTTACATGACAATATCTGAAGTAACAAGGAACTAGCCTCCATGTGCCCAGGAGCCGTCTCCTCTTTTTTACATCCGTGAAAACAGATGCAAGCCATGTTAGACAATTCTTCTGGGTAGTTATTTTCTTACCAAAGACATAAGTAAACGAGCCCCAAACTACAAATATAAACAAAAAATGACTGAAATAAGCGTGTGGGTTTTGTTGTTATCGATGTTGGTTTAGTTTATTGAAGCAAACTGCAAGATTTATGTATAAATTTCCAAATCAGGATTAAAGAACGAGAGTGATGCTGCATTAGAATACTTAATTACTAAGAAGGAATAGAAAAAGCGTGCCAGCTATCTTCAATCCAGAAGAAGTTCTATTTTATTCTCTATTTTATTCTCTATTTTATTTATTAGTAACTTACAGAGAGTTTAATTTGGACTAACTCCGTCTTAAGAACCTAAATATGAAGCCTTTTGAGTCCACTGGCCAATTCGTTTTCTGAATGTTTAATACTTACTTTATCTGTTCCTCTTCTCTGCAAAATTATCCCACTGGCTAAAAGGGCTTTTCCTGTTTCTTCAAACAATTTTTCCTCTTCAATTTTCCCTTCTTCTTTCAATTCATTGTACTTCTCAACGAACCTAGATTTCAAGATTGTATTTTTACTCTCGCAAACAACATTGTGGTTTGCTGACCTAAGAGGAGACAGGGACAAGTTTCAGAAGCATTTTTAGCTTAATTACATATCAACAAAAAAGATTTACCTTTGGCACGTCGATTTGTAGTTCGGTTGCGATAAATCAAAAGGTCTTGGCCCGCTTCCGTACACTCTGTAAAATTTCCTGCTCAAAAAATAAAACAGTTCAGGTTTTCCATCAATCAAAGAGAGACACAGTTTGAGGGAAATAAACAGCATCGGGGTCACCCCATTTATTCCACAACAGCCAACCAACAACGGGGACCCTGGGGGCCCCAGGACGGTCCCCGGGGGTCCGAACGAGGCGGAACTCACGCTCGCACGGCGTCCTCGGGGTAGAGGATGTCCCTGACGCTGTCCCTGGCGCGGCCGTAGCGCGGCCGGGCCTGGCGGTGCCGCGGCTCGCGGCGGGGCGGGCAGGCGGCGTAAACCTCGAACCACAGCGGCTGGCGCAGCACCCCCATGCGCATCAGGTCGCGGGTCCTGCGGGGACAGGGGGCTCAGGGGGGGTTTAGGGGGAGCCGCGGGGCCGCCCCCAGCCCGGCCCGGCCCCCCCCGTACCGGCTGAAGACGCTGCCGACCTTCTGCACGCGGCTCCCCGCCATGGCGGCGCTAGGCCGCCCCTAGCAACGCCGCCCCCTAGCAACGGCCAGCCCGGAAGCGGAAGCGCCCGCCCTCCGCGCGGCTGAGCCAATCATCTCGCAGGGCGCGCTCGGCCCGCGGATGGGCGCGCAGGCAGAAGGAGTCGATAGCCGAGCGGGTGCCCACCCAGATCGCCTCCCCCCCTCCCACCGCCATTTAAAGGGACAGCGCCACCGGGACCGAGCCCCCCCCCCACCGCCCCCGGCACGGGCACGAACACGCGGGGATGGGGCCCTCGGGGTCCTTCTGCTGCCCTTGGTGGCCCCCGATGGGCACGGAGCTGAGACCCAAACCCCCACGGGCCTCCAGAGCCCAGAGGGTCCCCTCCACCTGCCTGGGCAGCACCTGCTGGGATCTGTCCTGTTTTGGGGCTAAAAGTTCCAAAACAGGTCCCAAATCTATCCTGCTTTTGGGGCTAAAAGTCCAAAACAGGTCCCAGATTTATCCTGCTTTTGGGGATAAAAACCCAAAACAGGTCCCAGATTTATCCTGCTTTTGGGGCTAAAAACCCCAAAACAGGTCCTGGAGCAGCATTACCGCACCCCAGCATGGGCTGAGCGGGGACCTCAGTGCTCCAGGGGCCGGAGCATGGACCCAGCACGGAGACCGAGGGATGCTGTGTAAAATATGACCTCACACCCCAAAACCACGCACACCCCACTCCTGTTTCCCCGGCGGCTGTTTTGGTTCCCCTGCCGTGCTCCCACCATCACGGGGTGGCCGTGCCCACCCTGCAGCGGGGCACTGTGCCTCCACGGGGCCTGCAAGCAATGGCAGACCACGATGGAGCTGAGCAGGAGCCATGGCAGCAGCTGTTACCCCGTTACAACACCCGCTGAGCGCCTGCAGGGTGCGGGACGTGGCGGTGCTGCTGCCGTCTCCGGTTTCTGAGGGAGCCATTTGGGCTGCGAGTGACGGGGCAGGACAGCTGCTGGCCCCAAAGGCACAGGGAGCTGCTGGGGCTGTGCTGGGTGCTCCTGCAAGGAGGGGGCACACCAGAAATGCTGCCCTGTGCTGCCCAGACGCGTCCTGGCACACGCAGCCCGCCATTTATCTCCATACGGGAGGGAGGACGCCCATATGGCCCCGCATCGTTTGGGGTCCTGCTGGCTGGGGCTCGTCCTCTGCCCCCATGGCTCTTTACACCCTCCCTGTCCGCTGTCCCCCAGCTGAGCACCACGACGTGCCCATGGCAGCCTGGGGACCAGCAGTGGGGGGCCACAAACATCCCCCCGCAGTGGGACACAGAGAGTTGGGGTCTCCCTTCGGTCCCATTTTGTGTTGGGTCTCACCCAGAGCCAGCACCCAGCAGGATTGCACCAGGGCCTGATCCTGCCCCGCAGCCCCAGCACTGCTGGCTGGGCCCAGGAGGTGGCAGCAGACGGTGCCTGGCTGCCAGCCCCGAGCCCCAGCCTGTGTTTTTCACCCTGATTAATGAAATCCCAACACCACCGAGGTTGTTTGCTCTGTGCAAACAGCCTTCCCCCTGCCAGAGGTTCCGTGAAGCCAGCTTCCAAGAAGCACACGGCAAAGACGTGATGCCTGTTCGCTAGGATGCAGCCCTCGGTCTGGGAACGAGCTGGTGAAATAAAAAATAATAATAATAATAAAAAGCATTCATTCACTCCATCCATCTTGCAGTGTTATAAAGGAAGGGGGCAGTGAATTTCCAGCGGGGGCTGACAGAAGCAGGTACCCGCTGCCAGCGCAGGACACCTCGAGCATTCACCGTGGGCCAGCCGCAGCTCTCAGTCCCGGGCTTCTCTCCGCTGCCGGGAGAAAGTTTTGAAAGACAAAACTCCTGCCCCTGTGGAGTGGAAGAATTCAAAAGGGAGTTGCTGGGACCGCTCCAGGGCTGCATCTGAGCTGCTCAAAGGACTGGGCAGGCCCCGGTCTTTTCAGCTCTTTGAAAGAGCCCTGGCTCCCCCCTCGGGTTACGACGGCCTCCTTGGCTGCGCCGGGAAGGCCACATCCAGGGTTTCTCCAGCATTTTGATGCTTTTGACATTTAAGGCAAGAATGCCTTGACTTTTTCCAGCGCCTTCTTTCGCAGGGAAAGTTTCCAAGCCACACGTGAGGCTGGGGAGCTCCAACCCTGCCAGCAACCAAACACTGCTCCCTGGCAGCTGGAGCTGGGCTGCAGGGGAGGTAGGGGCATGGAGCGGTGCTCCCAGCCCGGACCCTGTGGTTCTCAGCCCCCCCAGCATTGGGGTGTCCCCTGTTGCAGGTCTGCAAACACCTCCAGCAGTGCCTGAATGCGTCCTCAGGTCTGCCACGTACCCAAACCCTGCTGCTGCCCCCTAAATCGGCTGTGGGGCCTGATTTGGAGCATCAGAACAAGTGTCACCCTCAAAAAGCGGGATCCACACCTGGTGATCCCGCCAGCTCAGCACAGCGCCGAAAAGTGCAGGGCTGGAGATTGATAACACATATTTCAGAAAGAATTCATTATAATGACGTCTTTCCATCCCGCTAGGAGACAAGGCGAAGGAGCCAGACTGCCTGCCTGACAGACGCGGAGGAGTTGCTGCGCGATGGATAATGAAACAGTTTGAAGAAAATGCACACGCCCCATCCCCGAGAGGCTTGTTATTTCGGAATTAAGTGGGTAAACCACAGCATTTTTCCTTTTCCGCTTTTTCTTGAAAGGCAGGTCCCGGTCCCCGCACACAGAGCTGGCAACGGGCACGCTGTGAGCTCACACACAGCCCTGGGGTCACGGCCCCTGGGGAGCATCGCTGCTCCCTGCCACCCCTGGGGATTTCCCTGGTGCAAAGCCCACCCTCAGGGCCTCACCGGGCTCCCCTGGCCGTGGGCTCCCAGTCTCTTCTCGTGCTCTTCCATAACAGGTACCTGGGAGATGCAACGGGACCTGCTCCTGCCCCAGATGTCCTGCGGGGTGGGAGCAGGATCTGGCCCTGGATGCAGAAAGGAGCTCACCAGCATAACGGCCTCCCCTGGGCACTTGCTTTCCAGAGGAACCACAGGATGCAACCCAAATGCTGGGAGGTGAGGAGCCGGGGTGGCTTTGGGGCATCTGCAGCCACAAGGGGCATGGCCAGAGCGGCAGCAAGGGGAGGCATTTCCCTCCCCACCCTCATCTCTTTCCTTCCCAAAAGTACCAGCAGCATAAAGCGAAACGCATCGGTGTTAAGAGTACAACAGGACTTTATTATATGAATTACTATTAAACATCTTTAAGAAAAAAATCACTTATGGAAATAAAGTCTAAAATAGCAACACGCACACACCACAGATTGGTTTTGTTGGTTTGTTCCTTTTAAAACATTTTGTAGAGAAGTGATACAAACGTCACTGAGAGTTGTACGGTTTTATGTAAGAAATGCATTTTGGCTTCCAAGCCGGTTTTAGTGGCCTTCCTACTCATTAGACCTGACTTTTTTTTTTTTTTAAAGGAGATAAAAATAATCACTCTCCATCCTCCTTTGAAATGATGCTTTGTGCCTCCAAGATATTTTGAAATGGCTGCAGAGTGACATCATTCAGCGAGGCTTTGCCTAGACTAGGATATTTAAGGGCAAGTTGTTAGACCGTGTTAACGAACACAGCCCCAAGCCCCTGTGAAGCGCTGGGCTCAAAACCCACCGCGTGCAGCGGACGGAGGCTGCGCAGTGCCCCTGTGCCCCACCTCTCCCCACATTTCCAGCAGGCCTGGCCTGAGACATGGCCTGGAAGTGGCTCGCCCAGGGCACCAAAGCCTTACGTGGCTCTCGTAAAAGGACAAGGGGCACAACAAACCCTCCTAGGGCCCCACCAGCGCTCGGCCATGGGCTGTAAGCACCCACCTGGCCACGAGCACCTCGCTGCTGTTCGCCCCCGACCCTCTCACTGCCACCAGAGCAGCCGTGGGGTGATGGCACCATGGGGACAAGCAGCTTCCTACCCGAGCTTCTGCTCCACCGCCTGTCGGTGCGTCCTGCACTCACGGAGACTTAGCTGAAAGTTAAGCACTCGGTAGCTCAGAGGCGCTGGAACATTTACAAGCTGATCCAATTCCAAGCTTGGTTTTCTTCCAAATATGCAGAGCTGCTTTGGGCTGGGAGGGAGCGGCAGCAGCCTCCTGCTAACCTCAGAGCCAGCAGGCGACGGGGAAGTCGCCCCTCCTTGCTTTCTGCCAGTCCCAGGCTAGGGATAAAAGCCCCACTCCGCTCCTGAAGGGCCTCCTGTTCCCAGCAAGAAGCCCCAGCTCCACACTGTGCCCCTGCACACAGGGACACACACACCCTGCCAGACACCGGTCCTACCCTGCACGGCACAGGGCAGCACCGTGCCTCTCCAGCACCTCCCCGCGTCCCATTGCTGCTGCCACAACGTCACCTTCGAGGCAAGCTCGGGACTGCTGCGGCCCCCGGCTCCTACAGCCAGCACCAAGACTCGAGGGACGCTCCTCTCCCCTTCCTCCCACAGAAAAGGAGCCGCCACCAAAGCCAGGATGGGTCCTGGGGGTGCATCTCCTGCTGCTCCGAGCCGAGACCTCGCCGGGCTCCTGCTGCAAGCAGCCAGCCTGCGACCACAGCACCCAGGCTGTGCAGGGCCCTGGTGCGGCCGGGAGCACGCAGGCTGTGCCCATGGCACGCCGTGTCCCCCAGCACCGTGTCCCCAGCACCGTGCCCCCCATGCCATGTCCCCCGGCGAGGACGGCCTCGGGGCAGCGAGGCGCGGTGGCGCTCAGCAGGTGCAGCGGCTGCGCTGCTTGCAGGGGGAAAAAAAAAAACCTCTTGGCGTCCGCTTCAAAGGCATGCGGGCTCCGGGGAGGATTTGAAAAGGAGCCTGTCGGGAGCCAGAGCCTGCAATGTGGGCTTTTGTTACCAAACCCCGCGGAGAGGCAGGGACAACAGTTGCGTGTGTGTCTGATGGCTGGGGCTGCCGCGTCTGCCGCCTTCACAGCTCAAATCTTGCAACATTTGTGCTGGTTCACAGGAGCCAGAAAGTGAAACAGGCACGTCTACAGCCACCTCCTGAATTGAGCAGTAAACAGATTATGCCGATAAAGGAGAAGAAAATGTGCTGGCGGGAGCAATTTCTGACTTAATGCTCGTCACTCATTACTTACACAGGGAAGGAATTTGTTTACGTAATTATTTTTAGCCTGACAGCATCTCTGAATGCTGCAACGATTCGAGCGCTGCCTCCTGGCCACCCCTGCCCTCCCCTGGTAAAACGAGCCCCCAGGGAAAGGAGCTCTCCTGCTGCCACCCCGAGCCCCAGCCCCACAGCAGCTCCTGCAAACGCTCTGTGCCGAAAACGTCTCCGCCAGCCCCAGCTGCAAATGCCCAAATCTGCATCTTACCTACAGCAGGGGCGTCCCCAGGCCCGCCGAGGGCCCTGCCTGGCACCCGGGGAGCACCACCAGCACGCCACCCCTGATGGACGTGGCCTGGCTCGGCCATGAGGGTTAAATCAAGGAGGAACCCAGCCGCTGGTGCCGTGCCGGCACAGGGAGCGCAGCTGGAGCGAGCCGGCCTCGCTGCGGCCACTTCGGGTCCGGGCTTCAAGGCAGTTTGAGCAATGCCAAAGGCAAAGGTTTAATTCAAAGCGAAACGCCTTGGAAAAGAAGGCCCTTCCTTTTATAAACAATTTATATGATTCGACTATTACCTGATCTGAATCTCTGCTCATTACTCCTAGCAATAGTAGGCAACGATTTTTAGGTTCTCTCTCTCCCTCGTGTGTTTTCTTTTCCTGCGTGTGCAGAGCAAAGTTGCATCCGCTCGCTGCAGAGCTATGTTCAGGACACTGCAGCCCCGCAGATCCCCACGTTTGGACGCATCCTCAGTAGCACAGCTGATTTTCGCTCTTCTCGCGACGCCGCTTGGATGGAGCAGGGCAGGCGGCTGCTCCTCGGCTCTCAGATCCACCAGCTCCACTGCAGCTCAGGTCAGCTGCCGACTTTTTTTTCCTTTTTTTTTTTCCTTTTTTTCTTTTTTTTTTGGCTGATTTGCTAGATAGGAGAAGTTGTTTTCAAACCCCTGGTAAGAAAACTTTGTGCCTCACTTCAATACTTGTACTTCAGAGGAGTACAAAAGCAGAGGGGGAACAGCCAAAAAACTGGGTTGTTTGGTGTTGGGCGTTTGTTTTTTTTTTTTTCTTTCCTTTTCAGCCATCTTCTTCTTAAGCCTTTTGCATGTTCTGTGCCAGCAATAAAGCCCAGTGCTGGGACCTGCAGGGGAGGGGATAGGGAGGGAAAGAGAACAGCGTGTGCTCAGCCTCAGCCACACCATGGCCAGCACCAGCCCACAGCAACGCCCGGGGCTCCCGCAGCACCAGTGGGGCTCATCCACACCCAGAGGGGCTCCGGACCCAAACCAAAGCACCTGGGGCTGCTTGCACGCTCACCAAAAGCGTTCATCCCCCAGTGCCTCTCACCATTTACTGCCCTTCCTTTGGCGTCTCCTCCTCCTCCTGGAGCTGTTGCCTCCGTGCTTGGAAGTCTTCATCTGAAAGGCACAGGCAGATGGGGGCTGCTGGGGGCTGCGGCCACCCCATGTGGGGTGCCAGCCCCAAATCCAGCCCTAAATCCAGCCTCAACGCCAGCCCCAACGCCAGGGAGGTGCTGCAGTGAGGAGGCAGCTCGGGTCCTTCCCCGGGGCAGGGATTTCCTCGCTCAGGCAGAAAACACCCTGGGACTGGGACACAAACTCTGCCAGAACATGCTTGGGAAAGGTGGAAGGAGGTCTTTGCCCAGGGAGGCATTTCTGCCACGCAGTCACACCTGGGGCAGCTCCGGGGCGGTCAGGGTTGGCACAATAGTGCCAGGAGGTGCCTCGGTGCAAATCCAGCTGCCGACAGGTTTGGTGAGGCAGTGCCCTGGCCCCAGGCTATGCACAGCCTGGCCACAGCCCCCGGGACTCCCCAGCCTGCTGGGCTGAGCCCAAAATGTTTGGCATGGCACGGCACGGCACGGCGTGTCTTACCGCACGAGTGTCCTTCCACATCGTCGAGAAGATTTGCCGTGGAAGCTGCCGTCCCCAACCTGCACCTTCTGCTAAGGAAAACTTCTCAGGGGGCCAGGCTGTGGCCGCAGCACCAGCAGTGACCCTTCACAGCCCCCAGCCCAGCCGTGGGAGGCAGCTGGGGAGGCTCCTCGCCAAGCCACAGCCTCGTGGAGTCCCCTGGGACCACGGCTTGCCCAGCCTGCACCCTGCAGCCCCTCAGCGGTTCCCAGCTGCTGGGGACAGATGGCAGCGAGCCCCTTTTAGGATACACCTGGTGCTTCAACAAGTGTTTTCTTTTTGACTTCCTCATCTTCGTCTTCTCGGAGAAGGCTCTGGCAAGTTCAAACAGCTTCTTGCGCGTTGCTGGAAGGAAGCAGCCAGCTGAGTCTCACCCCAAACCCTCCCCAAAGCCGCCGTGGGTGGTGGGGAGGAGATGGCCACGGTGCTGACATTGTCACCCTTGCACTGGGATTTTTGTGGCATTCCCTCCCCGTGACTAACCCAGCCCTCCTCAGGGGGTCTCAGCTAGCTGTGCTCTGAGCCAGGCTGCCCAAAGAACTGGGGCTGCTCTGCGATGGGAGACGCAGACTGAGTGGCTAAGAGGGAAAGCTTGGGAAAGGGAGAGGTACAGCAACCCAAATGCTTCCTCCTCCAGGATTCCAGCAGAGCTGGGACTGAAGGACTCCCGCGTGGCACAGGGCATGGGATGCCCAAGCCCAGGACTGCAAAACGCAGCCAGAAACTTCACCCCAAAAAGCTCTGCTGCCAGGGCTGAGCAGCGTCATAGCGCGACGTGCACCTGCAGCGTGCGGTGTTCTGTGCCTTGCACACCCATGTGCCAGTCGAGGGGTGCTGGGGACACCCGTGCCAGCCTGCCACGAGGGGTGGCAAGGAGCCCAGGGGCACACGTGCCAGCAGACACGTGTGGCAGCACCCAAACACCCACGGATGTGCTGCGTGAGCCAGCTCTGCCCCCCGCCACCCCCTGCACCCCTCAGGGGCTGCCCGCCGCCGGAGCTGGAGCTCGACTCACACTTTCCCATGTGTTTCAATTTGTCTCTGAATAAGGCATCGTCGGACACGGCACTGCCGGCCTCGCTGGTTCCGGGGGGGGCTGCGTCACCTGCAAGGCAAACATCTGCTCCCAGGCGGCACGTGGCTGGGAGAGGCTGGAGACAAATCATTTCCATGACCCAGTTCCAGCGCTCGTGGAGCGCGGCCCTGCCACGAGTGGCGCTGAGCACAGCGAGCAGGGTGAGGGCATCAGCACGCCGGGGGCTGGCTGCAGGTGAGGCCCCCCCGCTGATAAAACCCCCGAGACCCTGGGTGCAGAGACCTGGGCTGCAGGGACCTTGACTCGGCCGCGTTTTGCCCGGCCCCGCACGGGGACGCGGACAGACACCAGTGCTAATTCTGTCCCCGGGCAGCTGCCCTGCTGCCGAGGTTAATCAGGATTACCCAGAACAGTCATTATGCCTCCCAGGCACAATCCTCCGCTCCGATCAAGGCAAGGGCGGGCTCTGTCACCCCTGGGAGCTGCATCCCTGCTCCCAGCGCAGGGACACGGGAGCAGTGCTGCCTGGAGAAGGCAGGGCGAGGCCGGGGAGGGCACCAGCACCCATCTCCATCGCCTGCCCTCCCCTCTCCTGTGCACTCTGGGGGCTTTGTGCAGCAGGGAGGGACCAGTTGGGTTCCTCCCCTTGCAGCCACAGCAGAGGGCACGGCCTGACACGGCATGGCACAGCACAGCACGGCCGTTGGGCAGAGCTGGGAGGCACCCAGCTGACGAGAGGTGATGCTCTTGTGCCTCTTGAAATTACCTGATAGTATGGAGGAGAAACCAAAATCGTTGCTGCCAGCAACACTGCTCGACTTGGACTTTTTTGACTCGTATTTCAATCGGTCTGAAAAACAAAAAGCCCCGAGGCCTGCTTGGTCAGAGCCCTGGGCAGCACGCGCAGCTCTGTGCTCATTCCCCTGCCCGCCCGCTGTGCTCACAGTGAGGGGTCCCTCACGGCAACACGAGGATGTGAGGGGAAGAGGGAAGGTGCATGGGGACAGGGGAGGAACAGCCCTGATAAAACCATGCTGGCTGTCTCCCTGGGATGGGCTTGGAGGGCACTGCCAGGGCTCCTTGCCACAGATTTGCTGGGCAGGAGGAGCAGAGCCTCGTGGCGGGCAGCTCAGCACCAAGAGGAGCAGAGGAACTGCACCCTGCTGCTCGGTGTTGGCAGGTCGTGCTGCCACCACGGCCCTGACCACATCCTGCACGTCTCTGCCTCGCCAGCAGCCAGGCCCCCCCAGCAGGACCTCTGTCCTCCAAAACGCAGGCAGAGGCTTCCCGCGGTGCTCCTCACCTCTCTCCAGGGCCAGCAGGAAATCCCGGTTCCTCTGCAGCTCCTTCATGAACTCCTCGTTCTGCAGGAAGAGCGCGATCCGCTCGTCCTCCAGGTACTGCTTCCACCTCCTCTCCTGCTCCAGCGAGCCCTGGCCCCGCGGGACGAGCCCCCTCGGCACGGGCTGCCGGCAGCCTGGAGAGCCCTGGGCAGGAGGCAGACAGGGCAGAGGTTGGGCACGGTCGTGGGACCTGGCCCCCCATAAAGCTCCCCAGAGCCCCCCGCTTTATGCTGACCCTGGCATTTTGCTCCTACAGTCTGTTGGCAGCGGGGTCCCTGCCTCCCTCTCCAACAGCCCCACTCGGAGGGGCACCCCCCAGCCAGGGCAAAGGGGGCACTGGGCACCCCCACAGGGTGGAGGAGCCAGGGGATGGCACCAGCACGGCACAGCAAGGAGCCGCTGTGCCCCTGGAGGAGCTCATTCTCAGAGCCTATTGGCAAATATTTTTAATTTAAATACAGGGAGTTGAACTCGGATGGCACCTGGTGTCGAGGTGAGGGAGGAAGGTCTCGCAGCCGGCATCGCTGCTTTAATTTCCCCGACGAAACAGCAGAGGCTGCAGTTTCCCCCTGACAGATGCCCCCGTGCTCGCATCCCCTGGCTCCTGGCGTGTTTGCACACGTGGAGGAGCAGAGCCACGCTGCACGGTAGCGATCTCACCCTTGCCTACAATATTTATCTGATTTGTAGCTGCTCTCAGAGCGCCATAAAAAGCAAAAGCACACAATTACCAGGGAAAGAAAAGGGCAGCTGCTCCTCTCCTCCCCTTGAGCCCAAATGAATTGGCATGTTCCTATTCCCAGAAAGGTAATATAGCCTGAGAAGCTCAACTTCCAGGGCAATTATTTATGGAAACGTGGCAGGCTGCCTTTGGAGCCAAAAAGGGAGGGAAGAGACGATGCACGGGGAGGGAAGGGCATCTGCAGCTCTCCCCTGGTCCCTGCCACGCTGGGAGGGCGCTGGCCCTTGCAGAAAGGTGCTGCAAGGCCAAGCTGCGTGGCCCCAAAACAGCCGTGAAGCATACGGGGACTGCCTCCCACGGGAATCCTCTGCTTTGCACAAGGTTTGGTGTCTCATGCATGCAACACCAGCCCCCGAGCGCACCGAACGCGCTGCTCTGCCCGAGAGCGCTTCTCACCGGGGCAGCAGGTCAAATAATTTAAAATATTGACTGCTCCTTGCACGTGGCATTTCTGGCACCGCCTGCTGAGCTAACTAATGGCGAGAAGAAGCCTCGGAGCCTGGCTGGAAGTTTTCTCCTGCTCGCCTCACTGCCCGGGAGTGCGTGGCTCAGCGCCGGGGCGCAGCGGGGCCCTCACCTGGGTGCGGGGAGCCTGCTGGGGCAGGATGCGCAGGAAATCCTCGGGGAGGTTGCCCAGGAGCGGTGGGTTCCAGTTCCTGTAGCGGCCGGGTCCCGGCACGTCCGTCCTGCGGGGAAACACACAGAGAGCACCCTTGGGCCAGGGGGACCCCAGGGCGCGGTGGCCTCCCACCCAGCCCCACGGGCTTGTCCTGGGCACTGGCAAACCTCACGCTGCCTCCCCAGGCCCTCATGTTAGCACGAGCTCAGGAGAGCGAAAAGCTCTCCCAGCGAGTGTGAAATCGTTGGGAGTTGTTTCCAGGCCTCGCCCCACCACCTCGCAGGCTGCATTTTCCTTCTCCCTGTTTCGCTCAGCATCCTGGCAAACAGCACCGCGGGAGCTGTACCCCTGCAGGGCTCTGCTTATACATTTTGTCTCCCGGACATCAAAACCAGCCTGCACAACCAGCAGAACCGTCTGCAGCGGGGACCTGGCACAGGGAGGCAGCAAGGGCAGGGGCAGCTGCTTTCCTCCAAGCCCCCGGTCGTGGCTCAGCAGCCCGATGGAGCAGCAGCAGCAGCAGCGTGGCGGCGCCCCGAGACGCTGCCCTCCCACAGCCGTGGCCCTGCCGCCCTTCCCCACGGCAGCACAGCCAGGAGGGCTCCCCGTGCCAAGAGATAAGAGGTGCGGGGCCCCGGCCGTGCAGCACCTGGCGTTTTGGAGAGGCGTCAAGCGCTCCCCGCCCCCAGGAGCTGATTTTTGCCATTCCACTCGCTCCAGGAGCGGCTCTCCGGGCCCCTCAGCTGTTCACGTCTCGGGGCCTCGCGGATGTTATTTAGCCAGCTGTGAGCTTCATTCATCCCCCTTGGCTTCGGCTCGCCCAGTCCTAACAAACTGATGCCAGACCCCTCCCATACGGGGGGCTCGTGCCCAGCAGCCCCCCTGGCACTTGCCCCGTGCCGCAGCGAGGGGCTGGAGCTCACCTGGGTGGCGGCGTGGGGGGTGCGCGGGGGCAGTGGGTGCCCAGCGCCTGGCTCTCGTAGGCAGGGGGAGAGTACACGGGGGGGGGCTCCTCGTCCGAGCTGTCCGGCTCCAGGGTCCGCTCCAGGATCTGGAGGGGGAGAAGGATGGGGTGAGGGCGAGCGGGGGCACTGCTCCCCCCAGGGACCGGGACCAGCTGAGCAGTGCTGCTGCAGGATGGGGACAAACGTCCCGGCTCTGTCCCCTGGCACTGGGGGTGCTGCTCTTGAGGGACGAGGCGCAGCATTTTGGCAACTGGGGGGGGGGATCCTCTGATGGCAGCAAAAGGCTTCCTGTTGGTTTGGGGGAAGAAAGGAGGGAGGAAAGCAGTTTGGCTCAAGCCTCAAGCACTGCCCGAGGCGAACCAAGCAGGCTGCGTGCTACAAATCAACCAAATTGGGACTCAAACGTCTGCTGCCGCTGGGCTGGTACCAATTTGCAGGTGGCACAAACACAGCAGAAGGGGACCGCACCGCCACGGGTACCTCGGGGGGGATGCTGTCCTCCGAGTCCGAGCTGTCGTCGCAGCCGCTGCCGTCCAAGTTCATCTGCAGGAGCTGGTCGATGGTGGCGTCCACAGCGCCGTTGTTGGCCCTCAGAACGCACTCGATAATGTCGTAGTCCATGTTGGGGAACATGGTCTTGAAGTCCTCCATGGCCTGGTTGAACTCCAGCCGGCGGACCTGCCTGGCGGGGCGGCTGTTGTTGAGCTCCTGCGCCGAGGAGCCGCCGCGCGACCCGCCGTTGCTGCTGCTGCGTCGGAAGAGGCTCGTCATGGCGTGGGGAAAATGGACCCAGTCCCAGTCCCGGTCCTGGTCCCAGTCCCGATCCCAGTCCCGGTAAGGCGAGTGCCTGGTGCCCCTCGTCACGGGGCGCTGCCCCGGCTGCCGGCGGGGAGCATGGGTGGGCGGCGGGGGCACCGCTCCCTGCGGCCGCAGCACCGTGTGTCAGCCCCCGGCGCACTGCAGCATCCTCCCACCTGTGGGGCAGAGGGGAGAGAAGTCACAAAAGTCACCTTTTTGAGGTTGTTTTTTTGCAAGGAGCCGAGAGACCCCGGGGCGGCAGGGAGGAGGGCGGCTTTGAGCTCCGTCCCCGCCAGGAGCGGCAGCTGGATGCGCACAAGGCACATTTTTGGTAACACCTCCATCTAAAGCCCATCTCAGAAATCCCCCCTTCTAGGGGTTTTTCTTTCCCTTCGGAGGGAGGAGCACGATTTTTAACTTCTTCCTTTTGTGGCTCTGCCTCACTTGCTCAGCCAGCAGCGCGAGCATCATCCATGCCCCGATGCGTGGCCAGGAGGCTGCAGGCAGGGGCCGTGCTCGCCGCCAAGGTGTGAGCGAGGTGCCCAGAGGCACAGCGAGATCTCCTGCTTCAGTGGGGGAAATTCAACCAAATTCACCCTATTCAGCAGTGTCCTGGCACATCAGGAGCAGCCAGGAGTTCGGGTTCGCTGTGCCAGGAGCCGCACACACAAATTGCGAGAGCTGCGAGGTAAGGAAAGTGGCACTGCTTCCACTGCAGAGGGCTCCACAGATTTCACGTTTCCAGGTTTTATGTTTATTTATAAACACGGTGAAATCTCTCCTTAAAATAAAAAAAAAAATGGAGTCATTTCAGTGCAGGGGGCTGAAGCACTGCGGCACAACAAATCGACCCCTGGGAAAAGCCACCAAATCCAAGATTAACGTTCACTTTAAAACCATAAACAGATTATACAGCCACTGCTTCTCACTGGGAAATGCAGGGCCAAATTCAGTTCTGGATTAACTCCGCTGTTTAAAAGGAATTACCCCAGGAACACTTTGGATCCATAATATCATTTTCAGGAGCTTTTTCCCAAGCGGCAGGCGGAGAGTTCACAACTGTCCCTAAAACTGTATTTAATGGAGAAGAACACGCCAGGCACATTTCTCAGTGAAAGGCTGCATAATCAGGTTCAACACCATTAAGCAGAGCAGCCACCTCTGAAGGTCACCCGAGCTCTCCCGTGCCCTCACCAAGGCCACCCCACGCACAGAAGCCAGGACTGGTGGCGAGGGAGCAGAAAGGCTCACGAGGAGGCACTTCTGAGCATGGAAAGCCACCGTCTGCTCTGCACTCACTAAGAAAATGCTTCTGAAGGGATCGCTCGGCCACGAGCCAGCTCCATCCCAGCCCTCAAGCCCTCTGCAGCTTGTGCCGCGTGAGCGGGGCGCGACGCCACAACCGCCCTGCCCGGCTCTGTTCAGCGCCGACAAACAAATCCGCTGGAGTCGGTGAATAAAACATCGCTTCTTGGTTCCTCCTCTGCTGCCATGATTCACTCACAGAGAAAAGCCAGCTTTGTTCACACCTCTGGGATTAGGCTTTAATCGCAATATTGCATTTCTGGTTCTGTCGCACGCTAAACCGAGCTCTAACACCTTCCCGGGGGACCCACGCTCCTTCTGGGTTCGGCCACTCAGCGAGGGCAGGTTCAGAGCCCACACATCGAGGGGAGAACAGGTCCTAAAGGACACGCTGCAAACACACACAGGATCCAAACACAAAGACCTGAGGGTGAAGAGACCTGCGGAGAACTCACTAGTATGGCTTTGCTGACCTAACATATCAAAAACATCACATCATCAAATCGGTCTCCAAAATCAGGAAGCGTGCCTAAAAATCCCCCAGTCTATTTTAAAACCCTAAGATCTATAGAGCAACAACAAGTGCCTGTGGTCAGGGGTATTCGTCTCCCACTGTGTGACTTCTGAGCGGGTATTTAAGGTCTTCCCTTAACCACGAGGGCTGGGCAGCCCCGTTCAGAGGGAGCCAAAGGCCCCGGCCACCAACACACAGCCGAGTGTGGAAATCCCTCTGCCCTGCTGGGGAAAGGCCGGGCTCTCCCCGCTGCAGACGCCTCTTTTCCGTGGAAGGTGTTAGTCAACGAGGCACCAGGGTCTGGGACGACTCATTTAAATTGCAGCCCATGCCAGATAGCGTGACTGGGAGCAGCAGCCTGCTGAATAATTGAAAGCTTCTGGTCCTGAGATGAAAAAAAAAAAATCAGGGACGGGGACAAGACATTTGTATGCCAAAAGGGCTCTGCTGCACATCTGGCTTTAAACAACAACGAGGGATTGTGCCGCAAGGACGCTCCCAAGCCCGTGAAACCTGAGTCACGGCAGCGCGGCTCGCAGGGACGCTGCCCGGCCGGTGCTGGTGCTCACGCAGGCAAATTGGGCAAAAGCAAGGCACAGGCAGTGCCCCCAGCACGCAGAGGGGCAAGGCTGCAAACACAGGTCTTAAAAACCCCATTTTTAATGTCCTGATGACATCCCAGAGAAATGCAAACCCCCCCACAGCAGCAGGCGTTCAAATCCGCAGAAAGGCGAGCGGGATCCCCGTGCCGGTGCCGCAGGGAACGGTCTGGGCACTGCTGGCCGGTGGCTCTGTGATGTCAGCGAGGGGCTGGGAGGGTGCCAGGAAAAGCAAAATCCTGCAGATGGCCCAAAAAGGAAGGAAGGAAGCTGGCGGCCAAGCACGGCCCCAGGCGAGGGCAGCGCCACGCTCGGGGCACGGCCGGGCGCAGGGAGCCCCGCGGCACCCCCAGCTCACACAGCCCTAAATCCGCACTCGGCCGAGACAGAGCCAAGAGCAAGACCTCAGCAGCCACAGAGAAACCCTTCGTGGAGCTGGCTGGGGAGCTGATGAGCCTGGAAAGCTCATTTCAGAGAGCCCAGGGCACGCGGCACCCCGCAGCATGGGCGCGGAGCAGGACGGGACATGGAGAAGACTGTGCTGAGGGCGCTGCCGGGACCAGCAGAGGAGCAGCTGGAAAATCCTCGGGGCTGGTGAGCCCAGCGATTTCATGCTGGGAACAGTTGCTCAGCTCTGCGAGGAAAGCAGCCCCGGCAGCTGTAAAAGCAGCGGGACCGACTGCTCACAGCCCTCGCAACTCAGGGCAATGCCTTGGCACCAGCACGAGGGAGAATATTCCCCTCCCGAGTGTCTGCTGCAGCTCAGACAACAGATGGGGTTGCTTAAACGCGGCTGGATGGGACCAGCCCTTCTTCCCCTGCTCCAGGCTCCGGAGGGAAAGCTCTCAGAGGAAGACTCACGCTGGACACGTTACATCAAGAAGTGCTTCAGCCAGGGCAGATTTTCGGAGCTCTGCCTTCAGCCGGGCCCCTTTGGAGAGACCTCGCTGAAAAGGAGCAAGAAGCGCAGGGACGCGGCCGCTCGGCGGCTGCAGGTGCCCGGCCAGCGGTGGCTGTAATAGGATTAAAAGCAGGATGAAAAGTAAACGGTGGGGAACAGAAATTACGGTAGTGTCTAGCAGCAGATTGAAATTCAGAGCACACACCGAGGACGTGCAGGATGTGGCTGCGTTCAGCCTGCCCCAAGTCTCCTCCGTCACCTCTCCGCCGGCCCCGGCAGCGCGCACACCTCAGCCCGGGGAGCTGCCCGTGCCCAGATCCTTTCGCACACGGGGCTCCCTTTAACGCCTGTTCCACCACGAATTAAAGCGGCTGGGTTTAAGCCCTTTTCAAAAAGGTATAAAGCAATCAGGGAAAGAACAAAAAAAAAAAAAGAAGAAGGGGAAAAAAAAAAAGCCCTGTGTGAAAACCCGTGCAGCACGTACCTCTGCAAACCCAAATCCCAGCGGCTCTGAGAGCCACGCTCAGCCGGGCCACAGCAGCACAAGGAGGGGGTCAGGGTAACCGAGCCCCCGTTGGGACCTGCACCCATGGGTGCCTGTCCCCCTGCTGCAGCCAGCAGAGGCCAGCAGCACCGTGCGCCCCCGGCCACCTGATTCAGGGAAATCCTCTTCTCCTGCGGGATCGCAGCGCCGGGAACCGCGCCGTGCCACCCTCCCCGACAGATTTACGAGGGGCCTTTGTGTGCGCACCAGATGTCAGCCCCGCAGCACCCGGCCGGCCTGCAAAGCAGCCCCGAGAGGCCGAAACGCAGCGGCTGCTCTCGGCCCAAGGGGAAGCAGGGTGAGGGCTCCCGAGGGGTCCCAGCCCTCCCCCGGGACCCTGGGTGGCAGCGGGGTGCGGGGACTCCCCGGTCGATGTGAGCGAGGGACGGAGAGCCCTGGGTTGTGCAGGACAGAGCCCTCCCGGAGCACCTGGTGTTTCCCTGTGACTAATCCCCGGGTCTCACACACATTTGCCAGGCCACAATCCCAGTCCTTTTCCCCCCGCCTCCCCCCTTCCAAACTAAGCCTATATTAATGAGATGGCACTAGATCTTAATCAAAAAGTTGCCCGCCTTGCGAGGCTGCCTTCCAATGGCTTCATTGAAGGTAATTTGAGCTTGGTAGGACGGCATTCCTAAAATAGTTGAGGGAATTCAGACGCGAAACAAGGTTTCCAGGAAGGGATTAAAAAAAAATGGGTCAAGCAAGTGTGAGCGATTAAAGTAACCCAGCATCCTTTGTATGATTTAAATGCGTCTCTGCTCGGCTCTATCCCGTGTCGACGTGCAGTAAAGGGGATGCAAGAGGCTGACGAAAGCAGCGACGGCACCTGGGGGACGGCACCCGCCCGACGTGCAACCAGCCCAGGGCAGGAAGGAGGGAGAGGTGCCGTGAGCGTGCTGAGCCCAAACCCAGGGACCCTTTCCTGAGCCAAACGCCCTCTCCGTGCCTCAGTTTCCCCATCCACATGCAGCATAACAACATCCCCAAAGGGCTCCGGTGCTGCTCACGGCCGTGCCGTCGGTGCCGGCCTCGCGGGAGGAAACCCACGGGGGCCATGCCAGCGCCGAGCTCCGGGCACCCCCGTCCTGTCCCACAAAGCCCTGGCTCCATATGTCACCCGGCCCCGTCCTGAGCCGCTTATCCCCTCTCCTCCCTTTGTGCTCCCGGCTCAGCGCCAGCCCTCGCCGGCCGCGCGCACAAAAGCAGCGGGAAGCTGCCGAGAGGAAAAGGAAACCTCTCGCAGAGACAAAGGTGCTCGGCTCTGCTGGGGCCAGCACCAGGAGGTCAGGGCCGGCGGAGGAGCCACCTCTGGGTTTTTTGGGGATTGGGTTTGGGCACCTAACTGCAGGGCGGGTGAGAGCTAATCCGTGCTGGGGGCAGGGCTGGGCACGCATCGCGCCTCGCTGGGTCATCAGCCTGGGCTCGGTCACAAATGCTAATTTGGCATTTTTGGCCAAGGGTCAAAGAAATTGGAGGACAGAGGGGGAAAAAGGAAAAAGGGCCTGAGCAGAGCCAGCCCCGTCCCTTGGCAGTGCAGGACGCGTCCCACCTGTTCCTGGTGCAGCAGGAGCACACTGGGGATGGACTGGGATGGACTGGGAGGAGACCAGACTTCCCCTGCCCCAGCCTGGGCACCGGGGTGAGCTTCCAAAGGTGAGGCAGCAATTCCTGAAGCAGCTTCGTGCAGGGGCACAGAAGGAAGAAAACCAAGGGTTAGAGGCAGGGGCAGTGCGGGCTGAGGGCCTCACACATGGGCTCCGACCGGGCACCAGCACCCCGGCACCGAGGTGCCACGGGGCCACCAGCACCCGCTGCTGCTCTCTGGCCTCCAGGATTTCAGGGCCATCGCTCAACATGCGAAGGAAAAAAAAAAAAAAAAAGCAGCATTGATTCGCCCAGGGCTACGTGGAGGAGAAGGACCCGCAAGTTTCTATGGAAACAAAACGAGGAGAGTAAAACTCTCACTCACGGGCACGGTAAATTATTTACCAGGACAGGCCCCTGCCCATTAGGATCTGGTAAAAAGATTTAAAAGTGGTCATTACGCAGCCTGCTCGCAACCACTACATTCAGGCCGCTGAAACCACAGGCGAGGAAGAGGAAAGACTTGGGGTTTCCACGCCACGCAGGCGGTGAAACCCACAGGGCCAGCACGGGCTCGCTCCGGGGCAGAGCTGGGGACCTGTGCGAGGGTCCCGTGTCCCTGCGGCCCCCTCTGCAGCTCGAGGAATGCCTCCAAGGAGCCCCCAGGTGCCCAGACCTGTGGGCAGCCCCAAACCCTGGTGCCCAGAAAGCGAGCTGCTTCCAAACTTCTTCCACCTGTCCCGCTCCTCACTGCAAGGCACGGCGATGCCCGGCACGAGGCCACCCAAAAGGCTCCCGTCCGACACCGCCCACGGGAGCCGCGCACCCTGCGAGGCCGCCCAGCCCTCGGCACTGCCAGCTCAGCACCGCAGCGAGCCGGCACCGGCAGGGAGAAAGGGAGTAATTAAGTTGCAAATGGAGGAGTTGCCTTTTTTTTATGAGTCAATAAGCCATATGGCTGATGGAAGGCACCGAGCTGACGATTCGGGCACTGCCGTCCCCTGGTTGTCCCGGGACACGGCACCGCATTGTGATCGCGCTGCTCTTTTGTCCTCCCTCGCGCCGGGTGACATTGCTCAGCAGAGGAGAACCTGCTTGAAACACTACACCTCGCCAGGGACGGGCATTTAATTAACGCCGATCCATCAGGCCTCTCCCGCAGAAGCGCCAGGAAGGTTTCAGGACGCCACGGGGATCGCAGCTCCATCCTCCGGCACACGGCGGGGAGGTGAAAGCCCCTGAAAGCCTCCCGTGCTCGCTCTGTTCCCTCTGCTCCACCACAGCACATCGGGATTTGATACTGAAATGCTGTGGGGTGCTAACCCGGACTGCCAGCTCCCACGTCCGCACAGCCCCGCTCCCAGGGCGAGGGGACCCTGCTCGCAGCCCCCATGCACGGGCTGTGCGCTCCGGCAGCGCGGCCACCGAACTAGGGCACGCTCTTCCTCCAAGCCCCAGCCTCACTTCTCCTGCGTTATTTTTAAGTTGGAGTAATTAACTCACACCCAGCTCCGTCGCTGTGCTGTCCCAGTTGCTTTGGGCCGGCCCGACAGCTGCAGTTACCAGCCAGGGAGGTTAAAAGCAAGAAGGATTTCAGGAGCAGTGGGCTGGGACGAGCCACCAGGCTCCATGGGCAGCAGGATTAGCGCTGCAGCTGTGCTGTCCGTCTGCCTGCCCGCAGCGCAGAGGGGCCATGAGCCCTCGTGCCACCCCAGAGCACCACAGCCCCTCTCCAGCACAACTCCGAGCCCGTCCCGAGTGCCAGGACCCAGGAGTTGTCCCCAGGGAATGTCCCCTGCGCTGTGCTACGGCCCCGGCACGCAGGTGCCTCATCTCCACCTCCCGTCACCACCACTCCGCGCAGTCCCTGCAGCTCTAGGGCCCCCAAAAGGCACAAGGGGGAGCAGGGCAGGCCCCTGGACAGCAGAGGTAGGGTCAGCATCCCCCCAGCACACGGTACCTCGCAGCGCTCCCGCCGGTCTCCCAGTCTCCAAAGGCTGCCCTCGTGCCAGTGCTCCACGGCTGCCTGGGAACGGGGAGGTAGAGAAAGAAAGAAAAAACCACGCTGTTATAATTGACTCCGTAACTGAGTCAAACACTAAAATCAGCTTGGACGTGCCAGGAAGTTAAACAGCAGTTGCGCCGTGCCCCATTTTCTGGAGACAAGCCACCTGCTCTCCCTGTTACAGCTCGGCCCTGCTCCGCCGAGGCCTCAGCCAGGCCCCGGGGATGCGAGCGAGGGCAGGGACCGAGGAGCTGCCAGGCAGAAGGGAGAAACGCCACCCCTGGGAGCCAGGGCTCGTTTCCCAGCAATTACAGCGGACTGGGGCTAGGAGAAAGCACAAGGCTGCACGCAGGTGGCCAGATCCCCACGGGACAGCACGGCTAACGGGGGCACCAGGTCAGACACGTCCCGTGCGCCACTTCAGCCGTGGACAGGGAAGGACCTGCCGCAGACGGGGGGAGGATGCCGGGCACGCTGGTGCCTTGCATGGGAGAGCAATCAGGAGGCTGCAGAGCGCGGTGCGGCCCCGGGTGAACTCTTTCAGGGCCAGGGAAGCCGCTCAGCGTGCGCAGAACGCCTTCAAACTCCAACAAAATGCACCCGGTCTGCAGCTGGACAGGATGGCGGTGCTGCGCACAGCATAACGCACGCTGGGTTTCCACCAGCACCACCAAGAGCCAGCTCCTGGGGTCGGTCCCGAGTCCACCAAAACCCCTGGGGGCACCGACCCGAGCCTGGCAGGGCCATGGAGGAGCTCCTGGCCGGGGCGGCAGCACCCCGGCACCCTGCTCGTGGTGGGAGGTGGCGGCACGGCGCTGGGGAGCCACGAGGGGCTCTGCCTGCCGGCCGCGGCGCTGGCTTGGATTTTAAGAGACTTGTTTGTTTGTTTGTCGCTGGGCAACCGAGAGGGGATGGAAAAAAATATCAATATCCTATTGTCACCTATGAGTCACTGCTCGGCACGGGCCGAAACGCCCTGTCCTTCCCGCAGGATGCTGCTGAGGCCCTGGGGAAATGAGCGGAGAGCCCGAGGTGCCCCGCGGCCACCGGCACTGCCCCTGCCCTGTCCCCGTCCCGCTGCCCACAGCCAGGGTCAGTGGTGGCACAGGGACACCGGTGGCACAGGGACACTGGTGGCACAAGGATCGCTTTCCACATCCCTAAAGGCGGTGAAGGAATTTGCATTTGTATTTGCATTTCCTAATTGCGCCTCCGGGTTTCCCGGGACATCGGCCGGGCTCGGTTTCCATGGCAGGTTTTGTGCGGGCCGGGAGAACCGAGGCAGGCACAAAGGGGCCACAAAGGACCTGCCACTCACCGCCATCAAAGGCAGCCGCGGGGCCCTGGGTCCCTGGGGATCCCCCCCGGCACCGCCAGGGCCACGCCACGGAGCCCCACGTCCGATGCCCACGGGACACGGGAGGTCTGAGCGCTGCCGGGGCAGCAGCGGGGATGTGCTGCCCACGGGGCTGCTCCGGATTTTTTCTTTATTTTTTGAAATCTGATGGTTCTCAAAGCCAGGCAACTCCAATTTATCCCAAGCAAAAGCTTTGCAGAGCCTCCCGGCACTCCCTAGCCCGTTCCAAAAAACGGGAAGTTAACCAAAAGGCTCATTTTAACATTTTCCAGTCGAAAAGTCAGCGCGTCTCAGTGGTTAATACATGCGTCAGGGACAGCTAACCAGCACGGATTTTTCAAAAGAGGTTTTGGAAAAAAAAAAAAAAAAAGTTGAAATTTAAACAAAGTGTCTCAACTGACCAGATCCCAAGTTTCTAGAGTTACACCACACGAAACGAATAGCTGAATAAATGAATGGCTGCTTGACCTTCTGTCCTGACTCCGTGTGGAACCCAGCCCGGTGGCAGCCGCTCCGTGCCAGCAGCCTCTCCCGGCCGCGCCGCACACGCAGCCGGCAAAGCGCCCGAGCGGAGCCGCAGGTGGAGGTTTAGCAGCAAGGGGGATTTGCTCCCACAGCGGCAGCACCCCAATTTCACGGTCCCACAGGTCCACACGGCACAGATCAGCCCGGCAGCCCCTGGAGGGATGGGGCAGAGACGTCCCCAGCCCCGCTCATGGCCACGTTTTGGCAGGGACGTGCGGTGCCCCGTAAGGCCATACATACAGGACCTGCTTCACATCGTGGGCACAGCAGAGGCTTCAGCAGAAAATCCGGGTTCGAAGCAGAGTTGGAGGATGCTTTTTTCTTTCCAGTTCCCAACAGCAATCACCAATCGATCCTTCTGTTCCTGGGAGGTTTTACTCCGTACCATGGGCGCTGACAAGAAATAAACGCTGCGTCCCTGCAGCAGACAGACCTGGTTCAAATCAAACCCGCAGATATCCGAGCTGGCAGAAGGACAGAGGCTGGGCTCGGAGCTCCAAGTAGCGGGCAAGCCAGGACAAACAGCCACCAAAAGCCACCTGAACCGTAACGCTGCCGCCCATGGCACGGTGCTCACAAGTACCTGGGGATTTAGGATGCTCTTGGGCAGATCCCTGCACTACAAGGAGCTGGTGAGGGCTGACTGCAGAGGTGCTGAACCCGACGGAGATTTCGGATCGACAGGGATGCAATTTCCCTGTTGCATTCAGGGGATTCCACACCAGCACGTCTCCCAGCCTCTGCACTGGCTCCATGAACCAGGAGCACAGCCCAGCAGAACCCAGTCCCCAAACCACTTGCTGCAAGCCCAGCGCCACCAAGCAGAGGCTCGGCCACAGCCAACATCTCCCCACACCCTGCCTACGGTGCCACCCATCACCACCTCTCACAGCTGCAAGCAGATTCACATTGTTACTTCAAGCACTCCGATTTTACAGTATAAAGTTATTCCTCTCAGCTCACGCTGCCCAGGAGCCTCCCCACTCTGACCAGGGGCACCCCGCGATGCCAGCCCGAGGGTTAGGGCAGCAGCACCCATCCCGCGGGTCCTGCCCTCAGATTTTATCCTCACGGCGACAGCAACCGAGCGTGAGTTACCTCTCAGCTCTGCTCCTGACCTTTCCCGTCCGAATGTGACTGCCTGGAGCACGCAGCACCCCGCTATCTTTGCCCCCACAGCGCACGTCTGTGCAGGCAGATAAGCTCCGAGGACTCGCTATCGTGCTGGGAAATGCCACAAGCTCCCCGCACGCTCCTGCCAGCCCCACGGCGGCTGCAGCCCGTGGCACCCACGTACACAGCACCCATGTGTGCAGCTCCTTCAGCCACCGCGAAGGGAAATCCTGCCCAGCGGTGCCGCAGATCCAGCTGGGGGAAAAGCCGGGTGTTGGTGCCTGGGTTAGGTGCTGTTCTGTGGGTTTCTGTTTCGAATTTGGAAGCTCTTTGCTAACGAAATGCTGAGAAAAAAAAACAACGAAGCTCTTCTGGGAAGCTATCTGCTGGGAAAAGAGGTGGACGCCTTCCACCTGTCTCTGGAGCAAATGGTTTTTGCAGTCGGAGGTGCTGGGCCCAGGGGATGGCATGTGAGGCTCCGCCAGCACCAGGCACATCCTTGCTGTGGCAGGACATCGCGGCAGAAAAGGCCACAACGGGCACAAAGCAGCAGCAACATCACCATGAGCCGACCACAGGCTGCGTCTCCTTCACCGTGATGACCACCGAAACCTTTTCTGTCCCCCTTTCCCAGAGGCACGCAGCTCCTGCAGGTTCCCATTGCCCCATTGCCAGGGCTTCCACGGGAAAATCTTCATGAAAACCACGACCAGCTTGGCAGGGAGGTGCATGGAGCTTCAGTCTGCATCGGTAAAGACAAACACGGAGGAGGAGAAGGCAGCAAGGAGCATAAAAGCCTTCGTTGGCTGCCACATGCCCCGGCCACCAAGTTTGGGTGCCCCCAGACTTCGAGGCGGAGGGGTCGGCCCAGGCCAGCAGGATTTCCCCCGCGGGTTTTGTCACCGCTCCGTCCCCCACGTTTATTTTCGGTGGCAGCAGCAGGAGGACGTGCGAGGAGGAGGAGGTGCGACTCGGCTGCTTTTTTAAAAAATAATAAAAAAGGAGCTTTTCCAAACTGCCTGGCGATGCAGACGGCACTCGGGATCGCTGCTTTCAGGCGGTGATTCCCAGGGGCGAGGCAGCTCCCGGACTCTTCCCCGGTCTCCGTGTGCCCAGGACGGCCTCGCTGCCAGCCCCACGCGCCCCCCGTCCCCAGCAGGGTGACACAGCTCGGCTCCGGGGGTCCGCAAACACCTCAGGAGCCGGGAGCTCACCACGAACACCTGGGCACGGAAGGGGCCTGCTGTGATCAGGGGTGTCAGGGGGTGCAAGGGCACGGCTGGGTTTGTGGGGTGCTGAGGAGCAGGACGGGGATTTAAGGGCTCTAACTGGATTTTTGGGGAGCTGAGGAGCAGGACAGGGATTTAATACTGCTGGCTTTGTGGGGAGCTGCGGGGCAGGACGGCATCCCGGGGCAGGAGCAGCCCCACAGCACAGCCCCATGCTGGAGGCAGCCCGGGGGGGCAGCACGACCCCAGCCCCGGGGCCCTGCCACCGCCGTGCCCACCCCCGGGGTACCCCCGGGCACCCTCCAGCACCCCGGAGAAGCGGGAGCCCCCCCCCACACCCTCCCCGCGGCCCCCGTGTGGCGCTGCCCGGGCCCCGGCCGCCCCCTCCCCGCTCCCCGCCGGGGCCTCGGCCCGAGCAGGCCCGGGAGGCGCCGCCCGCTTTGGGCTCGGCTCGGCCGTGGCCGCACAAAGGAGCCGAGCCCCGGCCCGGCCCGGCCCGGCCCTGCCCGGCCCCCTTACCGGCACTGCGGGGGCGGCAGGCACGGAGCTCACCGGGAACCATGGAAAGGAGCCGGGACGGGAGACGGAACGTGGCGGGCGGGCGGGGGCGGGGGCGGCCGCCGGGCCCGGCTGCTGGGGGCGGCGCGGCGGGGCCGGGGCCGGGGCCGGGGCCGGGGCCGGGGTTGGGTTGGGGTTGGGGTTGGGGGGGGGCGGCGAGGAGGGGGGCGCGGGGCCCTACCCCCTGTTGTGCCCCCCCCCCACCTCCAGTTTTGGGGACCCCCCCCCGGTTTGGGGACCCCCCCGGTTTTGGGGACCCCCCCAGGTTGGGGACCCCCTCTCCGGTTTTGGGGACGCCCCCCGGTTTGGGACCCCCCCCCCCGGTTTTGGGACTCCCCTCCGGTTTTGGGGATCCCCCACCGGTTTTGGGGACCCCCTCCTGTTTGGGGACCTCCCCCGGTTTTGGGGACCCCCTCCTGTTTGGGGACCTCCCCCGGTTTTGGGGACCCCCTCTTGTTTGGGGACCCCTTCCCCCGGTTTTGGGGATCCCCCCCGGTACCCCCAGCACCCTGCACAGGGGGGTGCCAGGCCCGGACACCCCCTTGGGGTGGTCCCAAGGACCCCTTAGGGCAGCCTTAGTGCGGGGATTGCCCCCCCTCAGCCTCAGTCGTTTCACCCCTGTCTGGCAGCTTCGCCAGTCGTAGCCTGGGTACAAATCTGCGAGGCTCCGACAAGGCTCACAGACAGCAGCGAGAGCGAAAACAGAGGCAAATCTTTGGCTTTCCGCGAGCACCAGTCCATATGCCGCAACATTTGCCTTCGCAGAGCTAAATGCAGCTCGCTGTGTCTCTCTGCTGTGCCTCGCTGCGAGCTCCGCTGGCTGAAATCCCTTCTTCTGCTCCAGCCTCGCTTCAAAGGAATCGGGCAATGAGATTTCTCTACTGGCCTTTGATACGGGCCGGAGCTGCGACTGACACAAGCGAGGAGAAATGGGGAAAGAAATGCACAACTAGTAAGAATTAAAATAGTGAATTTAATTCAGCCAGTTCCAACTAAATCGATAAATCCCGTGGGGGGGAAACAAACAAACAAACAAACAAAACCTTGCATGGAAAACACAAAACACAAGTTTTTGTTTGACAGCTGGCAGTAACAACCACATGAAAAGTAATCGGGGTATTTCTGCCTGTTCTGAACAACACACGTTCTGAAGATCCCTTCTATTTTTGACTAGATTGATTGATTTTCTCTTTTTATAGGTAAGGACAGCAAAGGTCTACACTCTCTGATGCAAGCAGTAGTTTCAGGTGCCCACACTGAAATGTTTTAGAGATGTCTGATTTTCAAGAAGCATTTACGCCTCCTTAAAGAGAAACCCAGGCCTTTTAAAAATGGTTCAAATTAACCTGAAGAACCAAAAAAATTCTATGTATTATTTTGGAAAACATAAGCCCAGCTTTCCCAGCAGTCTTACCTGGACTTCAGAGCGATACGACGGAAGCTGAAACAAGTCGCTGTTAACTCTCTCCCTAGCCAGCGATAGGGGAGCTAGTTGGACTGCCTGGCTTAGTTTTTCTTAGCACTGAAATACTTTTTCCAATGCAATACCAAAAAAAAAAAAAGGTTTGTTTCTAGGTCAGGACCTCAGTACTAAATTTTAACCAGGAGTTGACAGTCAGATTTTAACACAGCCATAAAATGGATTCACAGTAGAAGCTCAAGCATTCTTTTTCTAATTAGAAAGCAGTCATTGAGCCTCGTGCATGTAAAGGTGAAAGCTATTTTTGACACAAAAATTAGCACGTAGTTCCTCTGTCTCCCTTCAGTTGCTGCTCTGGAAGCTGAGGGTGAGCGATGCAAGGATAAGCAGTAGGTAAAAACACGATGAATTAAGTAATAGGTGAAAAGGGACCTAAACTAAGTTTTATTCTGCCTCATGATAATGAGAGATTGAATTTTATACTATTTGTTCTAAGGAGCACTGCTTCAAAGGCCCACTTCAGCACTAAGAAAGGGACTTCTCAGAGGCTTTTACAAATTTGAAGTGCTTTTAGTAGGTGCCTTTTGCAAATACTGTTAAATCTGTTTGTGAGCTGGATAAACTAAGTCACCGAGAAACCACGGCAGGTGTCGTCAGGACCCTCCAACAAAAATCTGTGGTCTGCTTTTCGAGAACTCAGCTCCCACACGGGGATCCTAGGTAATAAAATTTTTAAAAATCTGAGTATCGGATGCTTTGAAAAACCTGGCTGTTCTTTAAATCCACATTTTCCCTCATTCTTTCTTTGGCGGGATCTAACCCTGACAGCTCTGAAGATTACCCACAAGCAGTTTTCAAAATACGATGCAGTGACCACTTCTAAAATAAAAGGAAGCAAAGAGCGAGCAGAAATTTGGAGGTTTATCACCACCACTAAATGCCCCTAAGTAATCCCTGGGTAACCCCTGCCCCTTTACGTAATGTGGGATTGGTACAACTAAACAGCTTTTTTTTTTTTTTTTCTTTAAACCTCTGTTGGAAAAACGCAAACATTAAATACTCCTCCTTCTGGCACTCTAAAGAGAAAGTCATTGTACGATGGGAAAGATCTTTTGTGAACAATGGCAAACAGAATTTAACTCATATGCTAAGAGTAACACACCCATTTTTCTCTCTCATCTGTGATCCACCTTGGGCTAAACAGAAGGAAGTTGCCAATTTACAACGCTCAGCTGTAACTCTCACAAGGGCAAGACGTAAACGGCCAAATCCCAGATTTCTGCTCACCCCAAACACCCTCTGGAAGTTGCAGGCATTGCAAATAAAGAACAAACAGGCCGAAGGCGAGTCGTTCACACAGTTTCAGGGCAGCGTTTGGTAGCTGAGCTGTAATACTTACATCCTGCTGCCCACCTCCCCGGGAGCGGTCACCCCGCGGGTTCGTGCACAGAGGCTGGGTTTTTGTGTCACTGATCTGCCTGCTCTGCCTTTCCGCAGCACAAATCCTTCCAAGGCAAAACTCAACTCTGAAACTTGCAGTCAATGCTAAGCCGTTACCCTCATGCTGAATGCTTATGGAAACTTTAGAAGAAAAAAAAATAAAATAAAAACCCTATTGAGCTACTTGCAATCGGAGACCTGAATGGGCTCGACATAAAGCCCACTCACATCAGCAGCGGCAACACGCTTCCCTGGATGTTGGACCAGATCCAGCCTCAAAGTTTCCGAGAAATAAACCAGGCTGAGCCTATCAGCTGCACGGGAACTCGCTGGGTGTAACAGAAGCATCTGTTCTTCAGACCTACCATTTTCTTACAGCCTTCATTTCCCGGCGCTGCAGTGACACGAGTTGCCATATAAATCACCCGGTGCTGTTGTGTAACTGCACGGCGCCTCCGACAGCAGCTGGCCTCGCTGCCTCCTCGCGCTGCAGGCGAAGCACTGATCGGAAGGTGGCCCGCCTGCTGCTGGACCAACTCCTTCACCAGGTAGCTTCGGGTTGTCAGAGCACAGCTTAATGTATTTCAGACGATGGCATTACAAGCGAAATTAACGTCTGCACTCAGACAGCTAAGGAGCACACCTCGGAACCGTTTATGCACAGCACAATGCAAATGTTTACCCAAGTACAGATGAAACAGGTTGACAATTAGCTAATGCGGCTTTGTGGACATAAACCAGGTACGGCCGAGCAGAACCAACAGAAAATAGAAAGGAAACAGCCCTTTTCCTATCCCAGGCTAAAAGCACCATGCTCAGGGGTTTGGGAAGTCTCTGTCACACCGAAAAATTTCCGTGCCAGTGTTTAATGTGTTTGCTCTACTGGGATAAAAATAGCGCCAGCAGGGCCCGCTAGCTGTGCGGAGGATCCCCTGTCAATACTACAGTAATTGACAACATACAATTAAGTCTCACACCTGTTTATTGTAAGTAATTCATAGATAACCACTTCTAGTACACATTTTCACATCGGCTTTTAACGCTTTTGTTTGTTAAGCTCAGGGACACCCAAACTTCACCTAAGGGTCATCTGCGGCTTGCCCAGACCCAGACCGCTATGCCTGCTGTGTAAAACTGGTGCAAGTTGGTATCGCTGGCGTGGGTGACGGAGATGGCCTGGGAACTACACGGCCCAACATGCATCGCCCCGCGGCGCGGGCTGCTCTACGCTAAGGGAGGAAGATTTTTTTTGCCGGGGTGCATTCAACTCGCATGCCTCGTTGTGGCCGGACCAGCCTAAGTCATGCAGCTGTCTGCACGCAATGCTCTACACAGTGCAAAAACGAAGACCTCTATACATCTGGAGTAAGAACAGTGGTAACAAAGTCATAGCTACATATTCTTCTCTACATTTTTGTTTATTGAGACAAACTAATTAAAAGGCACAAACATAGGGCATATGTTTACATGGACATTATAACAAACATATACATTAAAAGTGTAGGAATGTGTTTCCTTTCTGCTAAACAGAAAGTTCCTAAGCTTTTATATATACAAAAGTTGTACAATTTGATGTCCTAAAGTACAAAAGATCATTTATAAAATTATTTTACACTAAGCTCTATTTTTTTGTTGTTTTTGTTTTACTATGTAGTCCAAGCCCCTAGAACAGTTTCACGTAATGATACAGATACCTGTCACCTGACCCAAAGTCTGGCAATCTCTGCTTGTACTGACACGGCAGGGTAGAAACGGAAGCAGTCCATTTTGACTAGTCAGTCCTGCTAGCACTCTGTGAAAATGCACACACGCTAATCTCCATAGCTTTCAGCTTCATTAAAATAAAAACACCTCAACTGTAATTTATTTTTTTTTTTAATGTAGAGTCTTGGTTTTAGGGTGTTTTCCTTTTTTTAAAAACAAAGTTTTAAAACGTGAATATGTGACATGATAGTCTAGAAAGTATATCTGTTTCCCTAGATTTTGCTTTCTACGTTATGTACAGATAAACAGGTTAAGAAATAAAAAGCACATGTAGCTTAAACATGTGTGACCATTTGTGGAGAAGTTCCGGGCTGGACAGCTCAAACCATCATCCCAGAACTCCCACAAATTGATAGAAATGTGTTAACACAATAGAAGAATAACGTAAAAATGATGATGTTTGCAAATATTTACAAAGTTGAACAGATTTGCACAACACTTGATTAAGAAATAGGGGAGAAATTAAAAGACGCTCTCTGCTTGTCCTGAAGGGGCATCCTACCTAGTTAGTGGTTAGAATAAAAACTGTATACAATTTAATATAAGACAAAACTTCTAGTGAACAACTAACACGTCTGTCCCCTGCTGTAACACCAGCAGGTTTTGATTGGGAAGCAGAGGGCATAAAAATCATACCCAGTGCCTCCAGAATCTTCCAGCTTAAAGCAATATTTCTTAAGTTTCAAAGCACTCCTTTTGCTCCTAGGTAAGAGTCCCATAGGGGTCTGACTGTTCAGAGACCATGTTTACATACATTTCGACTCCTCTTCTGTCAGCCATGGCTGTTTCTCACCAAACAATAACAGTTTTTTTTTAAAAAATGTTGACTACAATGCTATATTCCCTTAGGGTAATATGTTGGGTAATATTTACATCTCCAAATATCAGGTCACAATCCCTATTATATGTTGAAGTTAGAATGATAAGTTATCATATGCTTTGCATATCAGAGCTGGTATCACCTTTCCCATAGGGAATGCTGCCTGAAATTATCATATTCCCAAAGGTAAAATGCATATTTAATCCAAAATGCATTTTTTTTTTAAATGACAACATTGTAATGCATTTACTCATTTAAAAAAAAATTAATAAAACAAAAAATAAAACAAAAACAAAAAACAAAACCAAAAAAAAACCATCAACACAGACGAAGATTCTACACTAGCCCAGAAACAGTGGACTTAACGACTGGCAAGTTAAAATCAGCCATCCACATCCAAGGGGTCTTTGCTAGTGTTTAGATTAAAATAATTTCCTAAGTTATTTGAGGGACAAAACATAAAACTGTTTTTTAACGACTTTCTTAAGGAAAAACAAAACAAAACTCTGGCAAATATGTGACTGCTCTAATTCATCATCAGTCAGCTAAAAGGTAAAACTTACTTTAAATGAAGTGCTCCAGTGAAACTCAAGGTTGAACCATGTGAGCCAAATCAACGGGGGAAGATGCTACTATGGTCTCTGATGGTGCATGTTGCCCCAGTGTCTTAGTTTGAATTTATTATTAACTATTAAAAAAAAAAACAAAACAATAAAACAAAACAAACAAAACAAAACAAAAACAAAAAAACAAACCCCAAAAAAGAACTGCTGGTAAGGATTCCACCTTAATCCTTTTTAATACTGTTTATAATTTTTTTTTTTTTTTACCAGGGAGGAGACGTGGGCAAGGCCTGGGGCAGGAAAGGCATGCTCTCTACTGGTCTCATCGCTATATTTAACGGACCAGCTAACGTCATCGGTGTGGGGAGGTTCATGGGAGATGTTATAGTGACTGGATGCGCTATATTCACTGGAGCGGTTACTGGGGTGGGTAAATTGACTGGTGTGGTGAGCGTTAATGGAGATGTCATGGATAACGGACTTGTTATAGTTACAGGATGCCCTAGGTTCATCGGACTGGATATATTAACTGCACTTGATACATTTACTGGACTTCTCATGCTCATTGCAGCTGCCACTGTGACTGGGTTTGTGATAGTCCCAGAAGCCACAGAGGACGTTATATTGAATGGAGTAGTAAGAGTCACAGGCGTAGTAGCAGCAGTGGAGGTTTGGCACAAGTTAGCAGCTTCTAAAAATGAGACATAAAAAGACAAAAAGTTTTTAACACATAAAAAACCATGGACAAGATTTAAAAAAAAAACTGAACAGAACAAAACAAAAATCAAACAAGTACAGATACAAATTCTGGAATCATTTTCTTTAGGAATTATTAGTAAGTTAAAACTGTTAACATTCTATAGCCTAAAGAAATATAAACTCTCATGCAGTTCATTTGAATTCAATATTTTTTTTTCCTGGGAAGTCAAGCGAGGTTGTCTTATAAAGAGGGTTTCGACGTTCATAAAAACAGTATCGTACAATCAAAGAAATCCTCCCAAGAGGAACATTATAAATAGAGGAGAGAGTGTACATACCGAATGGTACGTACTCTATAGCCTTCTCAAAGGTGAACTGACATTCTGTGAAGGTTTTAAAAAGTCATTATTAGGGACTGATAAGCAAAGCTCGTTTCAATATTTACCTGCTTATTTCAGTCTTAATTACTCCTACTAAGTCGTCCCACTGAGCACAGCACTTCTACTTAGCAATATTCACAGCTACCCAGTCAGTAGATTTTTCAACCCCCAGCATCTCCTCAGCTTTCACACAAGCTACAGTCGCACACCAAGCTTTGGTTTGGTTTACTCTGTTTTGCAGTAAGCAGGAATTAAGTGCCGAACAAGGAAGACCCAGGTGGCCAGTGCCCGGCCCTGGTCCCGGTGGGGTCTAGCAGGGCTGGGCACTGGTGGAGCGGGCACCGGTGGTCCGGGACGCAGCGGAGGGATCACTAGGCATCAGCACCACCTGCCGGCTACCCAAACTAGAAGGCTCCAAAAACAGAAGCGGGCTGGTGGACGTGGGTAAAGGAAAGGGATGGCTGCTAGAGAAACCGACAAAAATATATTCTATGTCAACATTACGGCACTTCTAAGACGTGTCTTATTCCACATTTGTAGGGTAGGACACCAAGCTCAGTCTACACCCACGTTTCAGGAGGTAAGCCAGGAGCAAAGAGTCCACTCTTGCCACTCGGGCAATACAAATGTACCAAGACAGTTAACTTTGAAAGCAACATTAGCCCCATTCAAGGGTTACTGTTGGTTCTTCAAAGTCCATATCTAGGAGGGGTGGGAAGGAAGGGAAAGAGTAAAAAAAAAAAAAAAAAAAAAAAGTAAAAAAAAAAAAGTGAAAATAAATAGCATTAGACTAAAAAAAAAAAAAATCCCATATAATGTTGTAAAGCCAAAACAACAGGTGGCACTAGCACAGGAGAACCAGCATGAAAAGAGCAGCACACAGGCACGACACTGACTGGTCTAGCTTCACCTTCCAAGCACTGTAACACACAAAGAAACACCCCACCCCCTGCCCCTTCCCCACTTCAGTTAAGTTAAACCAATATCATCAATTTGACAACGCTTTTCCCCACCCACCTCCCTTGCCCACCACTCTGTCCAACCCCCCTGTTTTTGTTAAAGTACGTTCAATAACCTCAGTAAGAAAGGAAGGGAAGAGCAAACAAGACATGGGAAGGAACAGGCAGAAGAAAGTTACTCCGAGATTTTCTAAATCTGACACTCGTTTGCTTTATCCATTTAGTGGCCTGATCATACCTAATGTCTGTTATTACTACATTTTAACACTTTAAAACTGTTTCTAAACTGTCAAATCACAGAATTCAATTGGAATAACAATCAAGGAGAAAGGAGCTAGCAGCCTAATACACAAATAAGACCTAGAAAAGAAAAAAAAAAAAAAAAAGAGTGAAGAAACTGAAAGGAAGTTTAGGAGAAAAAGAAAAAAAGGTGAGTCAAGAACATTTATTACTAAGAACAGCTAGTGAAAAGCAGCAAGTGGTCACTAAGAACTTCTCCTAAAACATGTAATCCGCAGGAGACACATGACAGGCATTAGAAATCAAACGGTTGTGAAAAGAATAAGCTAGCAGTAGCGGGAAGCTTTAAACTACTCTACTCCAAACAAGGCACTACACTGAAGCAATCTATTCTTTACAAAACTGTCGCATTGACCAACAAAAGGAAGCTCTTCGATTTCAGTTATGGTAGGATAAGCGTATGTAAGCTGCCTGCTAGCAACAATGAAAGGCACTATCGCTTATTAGCTAATTTTGTGATAAAAAGAGAGGTGGAAGAGTCAGTCCTAGGAGTTTCAGAAAACTTCATGCAAATGCAATTAAGTCACAGATAAAGTGAATGGAATAAACTGGGAGAGAAAAAAGAAAAGGGACACAGGAAGCATTCACATGCAAGCCAGCGATGATGCAAAGAGAGGGTGTTGTATGTGTGTGTATATATACATACAAATATATATATGCACACAAGTTAACAACTGGTAAGTATGCATAAACACAGCCCAAAACCACATGCAAGTCAAAAAAAACACACTCTTGCCTTGGAGCAGATACAAACATCCCTTTATAATTGATGACTGCTACATACACATTTAAGCACAGAGACCAACGGGAAGTAAGTAATAAAGAGTTCGTTTAACAGCTTAATTTTGGTAATGCTACCCTCCTCCTAGTTTGCAGCTATTACTTCTAACACTGGGAATGAAACTGTCACGTAACCCATCCTCTTCTGACACCCGAAACTCCCCACGTAACTGTGAACTCAATTATCCTACAAAACCAAGACCGTAAGTATTGTTTCATTTTACCTTTCTTCCTTGCTTTGACGGCCTCTTCCCATAATCTCAGGGTCTCTACCTGCTTTCCCGGCCAACTTGTTACATGCTGCTGCTGCTGCTGCTGTTGCTGTTGTTGCTGCTGCTGCTGCTGTTGCTGCTGTTGTTGTTGCTGTTGCTGCTGTTGCTGCTGCTGCTGCTGCTTCTGATTGCTGGTCTCTTCACTCATGCATGCTATGCCAAGTAAGTAAGAACACAAATTCACCTTGAAAAGTTACTCTGTTTTCTGCTGAGATGACAAAGGCTTCTTCCAAAAAGAGTGCGTGGAATCTCGCAGGATTCCAAGAGGAAAATCACAGAGATGTTTAAGACCGTATCATTAATCATGCGCTTTATAAAACTACTTTTCCGAGGTTTAAAAAACAAAATGCAAATCAGGAACATCTGGTTTCTGCCAAAAATGAACCTCCTTTCTCATTATTTTATTTGTATTTTAGGAAGACTGAAATAAAAGACTACAGTGAGTCTCTAGAACTCAAGCCAATTAGCAAATTCCTTTTTTTTTTTTAAACCTCAGCTACATTTTTCTTTTTTAAAAGGCCTTTTTTACTTTTTATTCCAAGTATGACAAAGTTTTCAGTTTACCTTTACATCACAGAACAGCATGTTATTACCCTCTGGCCACATTACAGCTCATCGTTTCCACCTCTACCAACTGCTGTAAATGCCTCGTATGAACTGGCTGGCGAAGCCAGAGCTGAAACCTTATACCTTGAAAAATATTTCACATCCAAATTTTGTATTAAGCTCAACAATCAGGCATTTTAGACATTCCCCATAGCAGTCTAGCAGCAAACCAATTCCACATATGCCAATTCCTTGAGCTAAAGCAGATCCTGCTATCAATATCTATTTCTAACAGGCGTGAGTTCCCACAGCATGGGTATGTTCGTGCACGTTAACGTAACCAAAGGCAAATCCCTTTGCAAACACATTGTTATTAGAAATGTTTTTAAAACGTTCACCTACTTTTATTGATGCCTTGTTTACAGGTATTACAGTTGATACTTTGGCTCTGCCCGTGTGTCTTTAAGTGGCTGGTGATATATGCTGCACTCAGAAGTTTACCACAGATATTACACGATACCTTTCCTTCATGGCGCACCATGTGTGTCCGCAGTCTGTCTTTGGTGGCAAAGGCAGCAGTGCACGTCTATATGAAGGACAACAATTACACTTGCAGTGCAGACAGTATCATTGCAGTACGAATCGCATGCCCGTTGTACGTTTTACCCTCTCGGTGCATAGGGCATCTTAGGCACACTGACAACCCCAAGTTCTACTTACATGTATGAGAAACCAAAATCAAACTGTTGAACAGGGACTGAAAGTTATCTAGTTGCTAAATGGAAGCTGGCTTACGAGATGACAAAAATCATACTCTAGACTATCTGAGCGGTCTTAAATAGCGCGTTACCTTACCTAGCAAAGTGAGAGGTAGCTTACAAACACCACCCAGAACAGGGACAGTTGCTATCTGATACAACTGTACTGCGCAAATCTGAACTCGGTATCTTAACATTGCTCGATTATTTCTGTTTCTATCCAAATCAAAATAGGGAAGCAAAATCTTTTCCTAATGTCATTCTTTTCACACAAAAACTTTCATTTAATGCGATGAGTCACTAAAAACACAGGTTGGAACATGAATATATATTCCAAGCAAAACAGTTAATTGCTCGAGGGCAGTCCAGTTATTTCCCTTTTCCTAAGCCATCCACTGACACCAACTTGTGTTCCCGTTCCAGCAAAACGGTGGATCCAGAATCAACCATCCCGATCCATTTCTAATGGATGTACTGAGAAACACACTGCACACCTTTCTGCAGTAGCCAGCACTGAGCTGAGGACACCGTTACAGTCCTCGTGCTAAGTCAAGCACGTCATAAAGCAGCGTAACTACATTGTTCTCTGAGAAAGCAAAAAGCCTCTAATCTTCCTACAGGCGTAGCCACTGCATCCTCTTAAACTGCCCCTGCACCTACATCAGCACCACAGCACAGCTGATAAGTAACTCAGGTGAGACTTTATTCCTAAACTTGCACTCCACAGAAAAGTCCAGGAGCAAACACGGTTCTGGGAAGATGATTCCCCTGAGGTTCTAACTACACAACGAGGCATTGTTCTTAATAAATCATGGTAGCCCTTACTTGGCATTTGAAGGGTCTCTCTGTTGAGTGAACATGTTTAACGTGACAGCTTAGATGATCAGGCCTGCACAAAAGAGAGGAACAGAAAAGAAAATGCATACTGTTACAAACAGATAGCAGTGACATTTTCGAACCTTGCAACCCCCTGCAGCCCCCAGCCCTCTGCACAGCCAGAACTACGTCCCCCTTACCTACCCGGTGACTTTGGGCTAGAGTAACACATGCGAGACCCAAGCTGCACTTTGAAACTCAACCACGTTCTTATCCACCTGGAAATTTGGTTGGACCTTGTGTATAGATGACAGGCCAACAGCTCTAGAGGTGGAAATTTTCTGTCGAAGGCGCAGCCAGCAGCAGTGCAAGCTTCCCTGCAGTGCTGTCAGCACACCTCAACTTTGCGAGGAGACGAGGAGGCAGCTGGCCTGCTGTGCCCCGCTCAGCCCCTGACCTCTGCCACGGCTGGTGAAGGGGCTGTGCCATCACCACCAGAGACACAGAGACGTGTCCTGAGGCCGTGACCATGGTTCAAAACACTGTCATCAAAAAATGGGATGCTCTTGCTCACCGCCCGCCTGGCTCAGACCGAGACACGGGCCCTAGAGGTGAGCAAGGCTCCTTTCCTCATCCCCTCGCCCACCTCCTAAGGGGTCTGCACCTCCCAGCCCCTCGCTACCACAGCTCAGCCCTGCCTGGTTGTGAAAAGCCAATACTCGAGCTCGCCTGGGATTTTCTACATGGTACCTCGAGAAGCCTTTTCCACAAACACCACAGGTGTAGGGTTTCGTGATGCCACCTTCGTGAGACCTCACGTGGTAGGTCATGCGATCCTTTCTCTTGAAGCGCTGATTGCAAATGGGACATTCGAAGGGTTTCTCATCCGAGTGGGACAGCTTGTGCCGGTTGAGGTGGTACACGTCCCTGAAGGCCTTCCCGCACATCTCGCAGGCGTGGTTCTTCTTGACGGGCTTGCTGGGCTTCTTCACCGTCTGCGTCACTGACATGGCCGTGGCACCGGCGCTGCTGCTGGGGTTGGTGGCGGAGGAAGACGTAGTGACCGTGGACAGGATGCCCGCGATGGTGGAAACCAGCGAGCTTCGGCTGTTGTCACCAGCGATGGTGGAGATAAGGGGCACCATCGTGGTGGGAGTTTTCTTTGGCCGTGACACTAACTTTACGCCCGTGTGGCAGGACTCGTGGCGCCTCAGATGGTAGCTGTCCCTGAAAGCTTTGCTGCAGTAAGTGCACACAAAGGAGGTTTTAGGTTTTTCCTTTTTAATCCCAACAATAGCATCCTTTAACGTTTCTGCTGCAGGCTGAGGTTTCTGCGTTATTGGTAAGGGCAGAATCGGCTTCTGATCGGGTGGCTCAACAGCAGAGCTCAGGAGCGGCAACAAACTGTTCTGTGCTGCCTGCTGTTGGTGGTGTGAGGCTTCGTGTGCCTAAAACCAAACATTCACACTTAAATTCTACGGCCGGGAGCTCGCTTCGACGCGCTGAGCACATTTACAGGCTACGGGAAAGCAAACTCTAGCCCGACAGCCGGTGACGCAGGGCGGCACAAGGTTAGGGGATTGTCCTGTGCGGAGGATAACGCCGCTCGTGCTTTCGACGCGCACGCGGCACGGATCCTGCGGCGAGCAAGCGTGGCAAGGCGCACACCGGAACAATCAAACACTGAAGTTTCCGGAGGGCACCGTTTCTTATGGAAAACAAGGAGGCGCTTGTCAGATCTTTCCTCCCGTATCGCCTGATCTTTACATAACAGATAACTCGTTTTACTAACGATCGTATCAGGTGCCCCAGCAGGGCTATCTTTGGAGCTTATGAATGTACCGAGGGGGAGTTGCAAAACACCGCCCCGCCTCTAAACCTAACCCGGGCTTACTGCACGCCGGGGATTAGGCTGCAGCCGCCCAGAGCCGGGATGCGATAAGCCACCGTATTTAAACACCGTGCTCAGAGCAGCGTGCTGGCACCGAGACCAACGCAGCTCGGGCGGGGAGCTGCCTAACGCAGCGCTTCTACGCCCGGCAGGCCCCTGGCACGCTGAGTCCTGACCACTCGGTGTCTGGCAGCCAAGGAGAGGTCTCCTCTTCAGCAGCAGGGTTTTGGGATGGGAGGGAAGCTGATCAGTGAGCTCTGAGAGGTGTCTGGATCCCAGGGAGGACCTCCAAGCTGCTCGAGGACAGCTGATATGGAGAGGCTGGGAGCTACAGGAGCAGGGGGAGAAGCTGCGGGGAAAATGCAGAGGGAGACCCCGCCAGTACCAGGGTAAACGCCACTCGGCCACGCTGCAGCCACACAGGTTTAAGTGCTGCTTGTTCTGAGACAGATAACGCCGTTCTGAATGCCCATCCTGTCAGAGCGGGACAAAACCCTGGCCGAAACACATTTGAAGTGGTTCAGAAACCACGCAGACCAACCCAGCCTAATGGAGCATTAAAATAAATCACTCCGGCACCTCCAGCGCATCTGCATTTGAGATGTGCCTCGGTCCCAGCAGCCTGGTTTGACCCCGCTCTGGCTGTCAGCGGGACAAGCCAGGTCTGAAGCCGAGTTTGGGGAGCTGGCCTTCCCCTCAGAGCAGCACCGCCGCCTCCCAGGGCTTCTTCCTACAGCTTCCCTCACCAGGCCCATGTGCTGCGTGGCACAGTGAGGCTGGGACAGCCAGGGTAAAACACTGCCTGCATGCAACCCCCTTCATGTCTACGTTTATTTCTGCTGAGGACGGGCAGTTGTACGAAGCACACCCCAGCTCAGGCTCTCCCTACGCTTGGCATCCTTTTGAGAAGTCAGGATGTCCGGAAGCAGGCTCTGGGACTTGTCCTCAGTTCCATCCTGTCCCTTTAGCCTCTCACAATCCCTGAGCGGTGGCTGCAGCGCGCCCCGACTGGCGTTTTATCTGCCCCAGCTCCAGGCAGTTGTGCCCTGGCTACTCCTTCCTCAGGAGCACGGTGCTGCTGATCCTTGGATAAAAGCCACCGGTGGCTACAAACACGGACCCACGTGGGCAGGAATACGTGCTCCGTCACACCGCGAGCCTAGCTGACAGGAAAGCAGCCCGGGTTCGGCACGGCAACGTGGGACAAGACTTGCTGGAATCAGTTATGGCCTGGGACAGCCTGGCCACTTCTGTCTGCACCTGTGCACCGGAGCGCGGTCCGCACCGCTGCAGCCACCGCAAACACCAGCGACTGCTAAAGAGCCCAGCAGAGCTCTCCTGGAGGCTACGCTGCCGAGCAGGGCACGGCTCTGGCTTCATCCTCTCCTGTAAACTTTTGCCTGGCTCGAGCGACAGCTGCGGATTTTATCCGCCGGGTTTCTAGAGCGCGGTGGTGACATCTGCGTCGCACGGGAAGGAGCAGAACACGCACCGGACACACCGGCGGCGCGGCGTTAAGCAAGCTGTGTACTTGGGTACAGTTTTAATTTGGAAAAAAAAAAAAAAAAGTGAGATGTTTTACAGCCAACTTTCAATAAGCACTAAACAACATCGTTAACTGCATCAGACGGCACTCAGGAGCACCTAAGGATAGCTCCGGAGATACAGTTTCAAAGGCGGAGAGCTGGCAGATCGGATAATAGGGAGCCCAAATCCTTTGGACCAGGTTCAAACTTGTGCAGTCGATGGGTATTTTTAAGCCTTGAAGTCTCGGCAGCACTCGGAGGTACCGAGGTGCCTGCTCCCACCGGAGGGCTGCGGGACCAGGAGGGCTCCCCGGCTGCGCGCTCGCTCTTACATAAGCCTGCTTAGCGCGGGTCCCAGCTCAGCGGGGTGATTTGTCAGCAGCGCTCTCAACAACCCCTTCTGCAACACTGCTCCTCACTTTCTGAGGCCTGCATTAAAGGCTTTTTAAAAAGGATCTGTTTTGTTGTTTTTTTTTATAATTATTTTATTATTTTTTTTATCTCGCTGCCCGAGAAGGGAACGCAGCACCTGCTGCACGCCTCTCGCCAGCCGTTTTTATCCAGGCACGGCACAGTTTTACTTGACCTAGCACTAATGTCAAGTCAACAATTTTTGCCAGATTCTGATCGCCTGGGACAGGCTCTCATGCAAAACACCCTCGTCTATCACCAGATCTTTCTTTCCTGGGGGGCAGTAAATAAGAAATCCGCAATTCGTGACCCAGAGTGGTAGGACGTGGCACCACCAACTTCCAGTGCCAGAGGCTAAAAGATTTTTGCACTCAAGCCTTAATGCGAGAGCAACAAATTAGCGTGAGTCATATCTTGAATACCCTGTTTGATGGATGATTCCTCCCAACACCAACAGATACAACTTTCACTTTCCGAGCAGATACTAAAAGCGGTTTCAAAACAGGCATTTCAGGGACCGGCAGGATCCAGACAAGCACTGCTTATTCAACATTGTAATCGTTTCTTTCAGAAGATACAATCCATCAGCACGCCACCTAAGCACGACCCAGTAACTTTATTTGGAAGGAGCAGTTTACAGTTACACATCCCATCGCTACTGAGACCAACACTGAGACATTGAAACCTCCCCTAGAAGCAGTTTGCCAGAAGTTACAGTTTTACAGGCTGGAAATTAACCTTCCCTCAGAAATCCTGCAACAGCTGGAAAGCACGTTCAGTAAAAGCCCTTAAAAAATAATTCGCGTGTGCACTCGGCCACTTGGTTTTGTTATTTAACTGATGGCAGGGAAAGGGCTGCGAAGGGGGGGGGGGTAAATTCACTTTTTATTACTCATTTTAACTAATCTCTTGGATTTTGGCTGTCGCACTGTTGGTAAGAATAGAAAGAAGAAAAGCTGAGGAGCGGAAAGAAGAAAAGCACTTTATGGTGCTGTCTGCTGGGTGCATCAGGATGCTCCCATCCTAAATCCTCGGCTTTAATGAAATGACTCGAGAAACAATACTCAGCATTTATCGGGAGGCCTGAGAGCTTTATTGCTGGGGGGTGGGGGGGGCACGAGGAAAATTTCCACGTCACAGCTCCGTGGAGATGCTTCCAAGCCGCACAAAACTGCGCGGTGGCAAAGCGCGCTGCCGACTCCTAATGAGAAGCAGCACGGCACAACCCGCCACCGAAGCGGAGCGGGGCCCTGCCGCTCGGAAACACAGCAAACACCCCAAAAAAAAACAAAAAAACGAGGGCAGGAGGCGAGGAGCTGGCCGGGCACAGCGCCTCGGGACGCTCCTGCCCCGAGCGGCTCAGCCGGGTGCCAAAGGGAAGCCAAAAGTGCCCTGCTGGGGGGGATCAGGCCCTGGGCTGGGGGAAATCAGGTGCCTGCTGGGGACAAGGATCAGGGAGCAGGGGACATGGGGGGAGTTTTTTTTTGGGGGGGGGCCCTGCCCTGATCCCTTTTTGCTCAGCCCCGGCGGCGGGCAGTGAGTAAGCAGCCGGGCGCCGCTGGCGGGGAGGATTGTTTTACCTCGGGAGAGGTGATGTGTGCCTGCCCGCTGCCGTTCTTTAGTTCTTTCTTCCTTTATTTATTGATTCCTTCCCCCGCTCGCACATTGCAACGTTAAAAAAAAAAATAAAAAATTTAAAAATAAATAAAAGGAGAAAGGAAAAAAAAAAAGAGCAAAAAAGAGCAAAAAGAGGTGAAAAACAACGCGGTAGGGGGCTGCTAAAAAAAAATAATAATAATAATAATAAAAAAAATACCCCGGGAAGAAGGGGTCGAGGCTCGGGGAAGCGGCACCGGGGGGGGGGGGGGGGTCCCCGTGTCCGAGGCGCCGGCAGCCGGCCGGGGGTAGGGGGGGGGGGTGGCTCCATCCCTGCGCTGCCTTTTTTATCGTGTTTTTATTTATTTATTTATTTATTTTTCTGCGAGGAGGGGGGGGCAAAATAAATAAATTAATAAATAAATAAACAAACTAAAATAAAGGCCGTTTTGTTTGTCCGGGAAGAAAAAAAAAAAGTTAAATCGATCCAAAACGCTGCCGATGGCCACCACCCCCCCCCCCAAACACACACACACGAAAAGAGGGGAGGGGGGGGGGAGAGGCGGGCGGGAGGCCGGGCGGCGGCGCTGAGTGACAGCCCCGGCCTAGCGGGGAGCCCCGCGGCCGCTGAGGGAGGAGGAGGAGGAGGAGGAGGAGGAGGAGGAGGGCGGAGGTTGTTGTGTGTGTGGTGATTGTAAGGGGGGGGGGTTGAGGGGGGGGGGGGGGGGGTGTTGAGAAAGCGGCGCGGCGCGGCGGGGCCTCACCTGAAAGAGGAACGCGGTCCAGTTGGCCTCCATGGCGCGGGGGCGTCGCGGCCTGAGGCAGGCAGGCAGCGGGCGGCTGGCTGGGAGGCGGCTCGCTGAGGCGAGCTTGCGGAGCGGTGCCCCCCCCCCCCACCACCACTACCACTACCACCACCACCACCACCACCCCCCCCCCCAGCCCGCCCGCCCGCCCGCCCCCACCGCCCTCACACCCCCGTGCAAAAACCCAGCGCCGGGGGCCGCAGCTACATGGAGCCGACAACAAAGCGGCGGCGGCGGCGGCGGCGGCTCAACATGGCAGCGCCTGAGCGGCCGCTTCCGCTAACCTCCGGGCTGCACCACTGCGGCCCGCAGGGGGGAGGCGGCGGCGCCGCGGCCCGGCGGGGCGGCGCGGGCCCGGCTTGGTTACGGCGCCGCCCCCCCCCCCTTTAGCTTTCCTCCCCCCCCCCCTCTTCTGGTCCCGGTGGCTCCTTCAAGGGGTCCCGGGATTTGGGCACCGGGAAATGGAGGAAGAGGAGGGGGGGGGGAAAAAAAGGGAGGGGGGGGGGTGCGTGGTGGAGCCAAGCGGCGGGGCCGGGTTGGGGTTGGGTTGGGTTGGGTTGGGGCTGGGCTGAGCCCGGCCGGCCCCCCCCCCCCGCGGGGCTGGCAATGGGCCGGTCCCGCCTGGGGAAGCCGAGGCTCTGTGGCGAGAGAAGATGGAGGAGCGGGGGGGGGGGGGGGGGGGGGGCAGGACGGGGGGTGTCGCTGCCGCTGCTCCCGCCGCCGCCACAGCCGCCCCGGGCGGGGGCCGAGCCGCGCCGCCCTCCCCTCTCCTCCCTTCCACAGCCTCGCCTCTTCCCCTCCCCTCGCCCTCCTTCGCTTCCCCGCCCGCTGCTAACGGGGAGGGAGCGGCGGGGGCGGCTCGGCCCCGGGCTTCCCTCAGCTTCACCTCAGTTTCCCCTCAGGGTCCCTCAGGCACCGGCCCGGGGCTGAGCTCCGTGAGGCGGCCCCTCCACCGCCGCCCCCCCCCCATTTTAGGTTTCCCCCCCTCACACACACACGCCCCGGAGCGTGGGACGCGGCACCTGGATGCAAATGGAAGCCGCAAGCAATTAAGCGGGCGCTCGCCGTTAATTAGGGCTCCACACGCAGCCCTGGGGGGCACCGAGCAAACAGCACCAGCGCGGGGGGGGGCACAGCCAGACCTCAGGGCGCATTAAATTAAAATTTGGGGATCCAGAGCCTCGCAGGACTCTGTTTCCCCCCCCTCCGGCCCCGTTTCCTCAGGCTCCCAGCTCGGGACGTGTCCCCAGGGCCTCAGGGCGATGGAGCCCCCCGTGGTGCTCCCTCCCGCTCCTGTTGAGTTTCACATTAATTATAACACAAAAACAGTCCCTAAGCACCAAACCCAGAGGACACCAAGGTTTCAGGGCCGTGGCGGGGTGCTGGGGTGGGCAGGACACCACCAGGAGTCCCGGCCTGCTGCCCCGGCCACCGCTCTGCACTCTTGGGCAAGTCACCTGGCCCCGCGGCGTGCTCTTCCCCTGCCCTTTCTGAGCATTTCTTCACTTAACGTTGCAAAACAGGAGAATTTCTGCTCAAACAATACAGAAGTGTCTCTGCCAAGAGTCACGCTTGCAGGAGTTTCACGCACCTTCAAGTTTTTTTCCTTAAAACCTCAGCACTGGCAACATGCAAAATACCATCACCGGGCTGCAGGAGCCCTGAACGGGGACAAAACCCAACAAAAGCACCCAAATGGGGTTTGTAACTCTCGTGCATCGCCTCCTCCCGGCCCTGCACCTCCACGCTCACCTGTGGCCGGCCTCGTGAGCGCGTTGGTGCCCAGGAGGAGACCCAGAGCCTCCCTCCTCTGCTCGTCGTCTGAGCCCCACGCTGCTCCCTGGCAGGGAGGGCTGCAGGAAGCCGAGAGAGAAACCCCACGTTTAGAGACATTTAGGGGGGAAATGACTGCTGCTCGTGGTTATTTTCCTCCGGGTCGGTCAGATATTTTTGTTCACACATATTGAGAGTGCTCTTTGTTAAAGGCTCCGGCTCGCCTCAGCTAAAGGCTAAGGAACCTACCCAAGCATGTCACTGAGTCATCGAAGAAATCCCGATGAGCACGTAGGAGGCTGAACTTGACATTCTTGTTGGTTTTACAGCTAAAGAGCCAAAGGGGCAGAAAGCACCTTTCAGGAACAGAAATGAGGAGGACGCTCAGCACTTCCTTACTGACCTGTACGAGGGGGAAACGGGGAGCGGGAGCACTCGTCCCTCGGAGGAGCCTCAGCCCCTGAGCAGCCCGGGCCCCTCGCACGCCGGCAGCGGGGAGCTTTGGCCGAGGCTGCCCCCGGAGCGGAGCAGAGCGAGCCCGAGAGCTGCAGATAACCCCCGAGGGGGGAACGAACTCGCAGGAGCTGAATTTATAAAGGGCAAGTCCATGCCAAACCTGACGAACTTTCCTTTCCCCAGAATTATAACTGGAAATATAAAAAGCCACAGTGTTTGAAAACACGTATTTACATTTTACGTGCCCCAAAGCACAATAAACAAAGGTTAGATTTGTAAACTCTCCGTCTTAATTAAAGCTGCACTGCTTTGGACAAACCCACATAACAGGTGACTCGAAGTGCTATGTTGTTTAATTTATACCTTCCAGCTGCCTTAGTCATCGAGCTGGGACAGCGATAACATCAGCAGCCACCGTGCTGCTGCCTGGGTACCCGCGGCAAACATGCAAAGGGAATTTCTAGGGCAGCGGGAGCCGGGTGCCCCACTTAGCGCCGTCCTGAGGTGCCTCTTCCCTGCCTCGCAGAACAAAAACCTTCCCCGCTTCTTCCTTAGCGCTTCCTGCGTGGCAGAGAGGGACGGGGACACTGCCGGGAGCCCTGCCTCGTGCCCACAGCGATGCCCAACGCCCACACGCAGCCCCGGTGCCGCCGTCCCCGCGGGAGCAGCAGCAGCAGCAGCAAACCTCCCGCTGCTGGGTGCGTGGTATCCCTGGGGACACCAGCTCTGGGAGGAAGAACTGACCGCGGTTAATCCACCAGACCCACCTCACGCCTCCACACGCCCCGAGAGGAGCCGCTTCCTCCACCGTGGCCAGCCACGAAGCGGTTAAGGAAGCGCCTGTGTGCCGGGCGCCATTAGCTGGCCTGCGGGGACAGGCGGCAGCTGGATGCGGCCCCCAGCCCTGGGCAGGACCGAGCCAAACGCCGCCAGTTCCCTCCCGCTCCCCCTTGCAGAAACACCCTGGGTTTTAGGGCTCGCGGTGGGACGCGAGCGGTGGAAGTGCAGTTTGAGTTTCTGCCCTGCCTGCGCCTCTCACAGGGGTCTCAGCGCACCGGGCAGGGGTCTTTGGGGCCGGGGGGGGGGATCCTGCCCCGCTGCGCTCCCTGCCCGGTGCTCTCCCCGCAGCGTGCCTGCCCGCTGACACGCAGCGCTCCGATTCCGCGGCGGCGAGCGCGTGCTGGAATTGCTAAGAATAGAAAATGTTGTCAAATATTTCAGCTTCGGAGGAGCCCCTGGCTGTTTGTGCTCTGCTCCCGGAGCGACGCGGCGTGCTTTGAATTTCACAGCTTCGCGGGGCTGCGGAGCCCTCCGGTGCGTAAATAAGCAGAGCCGATGTTACCGAGCCGGGGGCAGTTTCCCTTTTGCCGCTTTCCTAACTCCGTGTCTTCTCTATTTTCTCTCCGTGCAGCCTCAACTTCCCTTTCAAACTCATCCAGGAAGCTAAAAAGAGACAGTAAAATGTGAAGTTGGGAAACGCACACGGAGGCAGAGCACACCCGTGAGACGGGCTGCAGGAGCAGGGAGCACAGCGGGGTCTGGGGGCACCGAGGGGCTGCACGGGTGGCTCAAGGAGCTGCGAGCAACCTGCCTGCAAGCAAGGAAAGCTCTCGAGAGGAGGCTGCTGTGGCCGTGCCCCGTGGCTGCCCGCTGCCATCGCCCATCCTGTGCCGTGCCCCCGGGGGCAGTGCTGGTGCTGGTGCTGGCCCCAGGGCTCAGCAGGGAGCTGCCCTGCCGGGCTCTGCGCAGAGCATCCTCCTGGCCTGGTAATTAGCGCATCTGAAGGATCAGTCCGCTTCTCAAAAGGGGAAAAGAGGATGCAGGAAATTACCAGCCAGCTCGGCTGAATCGCCGCAGAAGGGCATTGCTGCAATCGATGGAGGAGCAGCGAGAAGCTACTGAAAGGGAAGGAGCTCCGTTAGCTCCTTGCTGTCAGCACCAAACTTTGAGGTGCGCAGCAGCGGCACAGGGAGAGAACCTGGGGAGAAGCAGGCGGCTGCTGGGGCAGCGTTAAGGGTGGGCTGCGAGGCCGAGGGGCCCGTCCTAGCAGTGGGGTCACCCTCCTGCCTTCCTGGAGGCACGGGGCAGCGCCCCAGCACCCTACAAACCAGGGTGCCAGCTGCACCCACCAGCTGCGAGCCAGGCGCTTCTCACAGCAGCTGGGTGTCCCTGCCCTGCACGCGGAGCTGCCTCGGGGCCGGCCCCATCCCCATGGCAGAGCAGAGCACAGCTAAGTTTAGCCCAGCCGCGCACGGGAAGCGGCGTTATCTCATCCCACCTCCTTGTCCTCAGCTGTGCGCACGCTAATCTCCGCCTGGCACCTTGAGCTCGGAGCTGCCCTGCGCTGCAAGCGCCCTTTTATTTTTATTTTGGTCATCTCCGTCACAACTTCTTCCCACTGAGCAGCCGCTGTCATCCGTTGTGCGCCTGGCACCGGGACGGAAGCGCTGCTCCTCCCGCTGCTCGCCGCGGGGACGTGTGGCTGGCTGATGGCTTCTCCCCTATCTTTGGGCACAAGCAAAGCGCCTGCAGATGCCCCACACGCAGGGCTGCCCCTCACGACACACGAGGTGCATACCGGGGGCAGCCACGGGCACGGTGCCAGCGGTGCCACAGCTCCGGTGCCGAGCAGTGCGAGCCACCCGCGCTTAACATCAGGTCTGGTGTCATTCCTCGGTTCTGTGCACAGATGGGATGCACACAGAGCCAAAATTATTCGTCTCCTACAGCTCGGAGACCTTCTGGGGTGCACGCCGACCCCTGGCAGACCATGTGGGTTTTCACCACCCTGCCTGCCCTGACCTCTGCGCTGCACCCGTCGCAAAAGCTGCTTCCAGCTTCGTGCCGGATTGGAGAGCTCCAGGAGAGGCAGCGCGCAGCAGCTCCTCAGCAGCGTGCTCCTGCGGTTAATCACCAGTGACCATTTTTAGTAATAATTCCCGAGGGGCCGAGGGCCGCGCGGAAACATCCGCTCCTGCCTCGCTCCCCTTCCCACCATCTGCCCCGGCTCCTCGGGCGCGGCAGGTCCAGGAAAAAAAAACAGCCCCTGAATTAGAGCAGCCGAGCCGGCGAGGAAATCCGAGCGCTAATCCCCGAGCTCTCGCTGGCGCACGGCAGAGCTCCGGCGAGCCTTCCTCCGCCCCGGCCGCAGCTGGAGGCCCTGGGTGACGCCGTGGGTGACGCCGTGGGTGACGCCGTGTCACCTTCCCGCAGGGCTGCGGCGAGTGGCTGGATGCAGAGGTGCAGGGCAGGGAGCGGCGGAGCCGCGGTGCCCACAGCGAGCGGTGGCCCCGGCAGCCGGGCAGGGCTCCAGCCCTGCGCGTGCCTCCACACCCGCGCTGCCCCGGCTTGTTTGCTCTTCGCTGTTTGCTTTTGCAGGACCTGCGTGCGCGGGGGTGCGGAGCCTGGGGGGGGTTAAACTGGTTTGTGAGGGATGGATTTTCTCAAAGTCATCGATGGCGGTGCGGTCGCCCGCCCTGCTGGGCTGGGGCGAGCACCCGGCACGTCTGAGCACGAGGCTCTGCCCCAGGGCTCCAACAGCTGCCTGGGCCCTGCCGCATGGACTGCCTGGGTGTCCTGCAGCGCCCGCGGAGCTGTGCCCATGCCAGGAGGGCTCATGTGTGGCCAGGAGGCTGCAGCTGCTGCGTGCCAGGGGCTGGGTGCGGGGAGGCCGCGGCTGCCAGCCCTGCGAGCACGGGCAGAGGCCGAGCCTCGGAGCGCTGCCATGTGCAGGGGATGCGCCGCGTGGTGCCAACCCGATGTCTCGTTCCTAAAACCCTGCAGCACGCTCTTCATCGCCCTGCTGCTGCCACTCGGTCAGAGGAAAGCTCACCCCCCAAGCCCCTGCTCAATAATTAATCGTAAGCCATTTGGGATTAAAGACGTACCTGTCCCTGCAGAAATGCAGCACGAAGCACGGGGGTGCCGCAGCCTCACCTCCTGCAGCTCCTCCTGCACTTTGGAGACCTGCACACGTGGAGGGAAGGAGCAGCGCCGCGGTGAGAGGGGGCAGATTCAAATTCAATGCAAAGCAGCGTGGAGGAAGTTGTTCCTGGTGCTGCTCCAAGCCTGAAACAGCGTCAAAAAGTCACCAGAAAAAGCCAGCCCTGCTCCTCGCTGCAAGGAACGCGCCCAGAGCTCAGCAAACTGCTGAGTTCCTGCAGGTGTTTCGTTTTTAAATCCCCACTCCCAGGGGCCACGGGTGCCACCCCATGGGTGCTGGGGGCTTTTTGCAGCCTCAGCTCCTCCCGCAGTGACACAGCCCCGTGCTGGCCGCTCCCGGGCGCACGTCCCTGCGGTTTGGTGGGCGGGGGGGGGTCACGGCATCAGCCCCCCGGGGCACAGCCCTTGGTGTAAGGAATGGGTATTTTTAAAATCTGTTAGACCCAAAGCGTGAAACCTTAGCTGACTCATACGAATATGAAACTCTCTTACGGGATGAATTAAAGCTATTAAAACAGAGGTAATTACTCATGCGAACAATGCCCCTCTCATCTCTTTAATGATCACGCAAATTAGTGCATAAAATTACGTTAATAGCCCCGTAACTGCGGCACAGGCACTCAGACCTCCGGTTTGCAGAGGCTGAGCTTCGGGAACCCGGGACTGAGCAGAGCCAAATTGGGGCCATGGCACAGCGAGGGCGGGCGAGACCCCGACCCGTGGGGGTCCTGTGCCGGCCCTGAGCAGCGGCAGGAGGGGGAGCGCAGAGCTCGGCACCCAGCAAACCCCTCGGGTACGTCGGGCACTGCAGCCTGAGTCACTCCCGCCCTCGTGTGCACAGCAGAGGGGTTTTGGGGAGCAGCCCTTGCTCAGGGAGCTACTGGGAATCTCGCCGCAGCTTCTATCAGTTCGGCTTGCTGTTTGGAAGCCTCTCCTGCAGGTTAAGACGAGCGGGTGCAATCAGGAAGGTTTTGCGCTCAGCAGAGGGGGAGCTGGATGCTCGCTGAATCTGCAGCTGGCTTTGGCAGGGCTGGAAATCGTTAAACGCTTCTGGTGTAAAGCTACAAACGAGGGGCTGGCAGCAGGAGCGAGAAATCTCGGGCCACGACTGACGCTGCCGGAGCCATGAATGCGCCCGCTGTCCTAAAGCAGAAGTTTCTGCTCAGAAAAAAAAACAACAACAACAAACTAACAACAAACAACGATGACAAAACCCCAAACTGTGGTTTCTAGGAGAAACCGCAAGTTTTCTAACCGTTTCTATTTGGGTGCTAACGTCAGGTTCCTTGAGTGCCCGGCTATCGGCGTGGCGTGGATCAGGCAGGGCAGCTCCCTCCCTCCCCGCACAATGCCCGCAGTCTCCCGCGGCGCTGCAGGCAGGCAGCTGCAGAGGCCGAGGGCAAAACAGAGGGGCCACACAGCTCCAGGGCAAACAATTGCCCTCAGTGTGCCAACAAAACCACAGCTCCGGAGGCGCGAGGCCGTCCCAAAGGGCAGGTTCCCTGCGCACGGAGCGGGCAGCCAGGAACACCCAGGGGACGAGGGGCACGAGCCCAGCTCCACGGGGAGGCAGAGCCATCCCGAGGAACCCCCTGCCCGCTTCCACCCTGCTTGGACGAACAAAACCACCCTGGAGAGGGGTTAAAATCCCACCAAACCCATCCTGGAAGGAGCGCTAGAACGGCTACCGCGGTCTGGCTGCCTCCCTTCCAGCATAACCTGTTTCTGCTAATTTATGGAAGCCAATAAAACAAACCCCGAGCGAGCTGAGCCCGGCAGCAGCAGCTGCTCAGGATGACTGCTGAGGATGAGTTGCCCGGCCCGTGCCTGGGAGCGAACATTCCCCGCGAGAGGAGTTCAGCGGGCGCTGGCTTGGGTTAATTTCCACCCCACAGCCCCAGGCGCCGCAGGGGGAGGCGCGGAGCCCAGGGCGCTGCTTTGGGCAGGCACCGCTCCCCCGACGTGGAGCTCTCACCCTAGCTACCTTAATGAGCCCGCAGCGAGGCGGTGCAATTAAAACCAAGAGAGCATCAAAGTCAGCCTCCTCCACCCGAGCAGTTCCAGCGCTGCCAAGGCGGGTGCACGGCGCGCTTCTGCCACCAGCTCCTCGCCTGCAGAGCCCCTGGCAGCAGTCCCCAAGCAGGGAGCGGTGCCGGCTGCTGCAGGTGAGGTCCAGGAAAAAAAAAAAGGCACTTGGGGAAGGCCCTGATTCGCCCCAGTTCAGTTCCCTGCTCCACCAGAGGCACGTTTGGCTGTTAACGGTAGTGCAATAACAAAAGATCTTAGAGGAGGTCTGGAGGCACAGAACACAGCAGAGCTCCGCACCGCAAAAAAGCTTTATTGGGGGATCCCAAAGCATTTCACAAACACGGGCACTGTCACAGCACCGCGCAGCACATGTCACACGCAGCACAAGGTGAACCGGACTGCTCTCCCTCGACGTGGGAAGCCAAAATGAGAAAACGTCCGAATTGCTCCGTTCCCTTCCCTTTTCCAGGTGAAATGAACGCGCCGTTTCCACTTCGATGGGAGGAGCAGTTTTCGCTCAGGGGGACGCCGCCACCAGCCCGTTACGGGATCAGACTTCAGGAGCTTTGCACGAACGAGGAGGGGTCCACGAGTGTCAGCACAAACACGGTGCTCTCCTCTTCCTCACCCCCCTGGGGAGGGCCGGCCTTCCAGCGCCGCGCTGTTTACTGCTGCAAACCACCCCGAGATACCAGGAAGCAAAAACTCACCAGGGATTTGCCTCTTGCGCAGCAGAACCCCACAGCCTCAGCACTGACCCCCCACGCTCCCCTCGTACCTGCAGGCTCTCGGGGGTGCCCACAGGACCAGGCTGGGTGTTTTTAAAGCCTCGCTTTATGACTGCTCCAAGTCTCACCTTTCCTGACCGCAGGTGACAGAACTGATCAGAACCCAAGGGTTTGTGGTTTGGGGCCGAACTCCCCAGTGCTCGCCCAGAGAAAAATGTGCATTTCTGCCAGCAGCATCCCATCCCCACGGAACCTGAGCACCGTCTGCTCTCAGCTCACTTGCACGCTCCTAGACTGGCTGCTGCAGAAATCCTCAGTGCTGACACCAACTCATTGCACATTTAATTTAAATCAAACACAAGCGATGTTATCCCAGATAACTAATGGCACATCCCCATGGCTGGCACTTAACTACGAGGACATTCACCCCAGGAAGGTGCCGCAGACACACCTGGCACCCACGAGTGGCAGCGGTGCCATGACCCAGCCAGCCACAGCACAGCACCTGCACGCAGCTCCTGGTAACCTCGTTACTGCCCACCTCCTGCACAACAAGCCTCAGAAGTCCCCAAAAATTGAGAACACAAGCACTGGGAAATGTTACACACAGTCTGTAACCAGCACTTAGAGGGGACTGAGTGCCATTCACCTCCCATTACTCCCCTGTGCTCCCTTTCCTTGTTACCAACAGCACTACCAGGATCCTTTTTTAAGCAGTTCGGATTCTTCTTCTCCCCCATTCTGAATCCTGCCCATTTCCCAGGGTACTGGTCCCTTATTCAGAAGCTCCAGCACCAGCGCTTCCTGCGGAACAGCAGATCTTTGTTGCATACAAAAGCTTTTTGTCTGAAAATGTGAAATTTAACAATGTTACGGTTTCTGGTGGCAAGCAGACTCGTTATCAACAAATGATGACAACCATGCATGTTTTTTTAAAAATTTTATTTGTCAAAGAAAAAAAGGCAGTAGCCAATTGAAAACCTACTTCATCTTTAACTCCAATTTTTGACTTTAAATTTAGAGAAATGACTTATTGATTTACTTTGTTTAAACAAACCCCCCTTTTTCCCCTTTAACGTTTACCATCTACTCGTGCTGAATCCTTCCAAGGAGATTGCTCCAGCGTACCTCTCCAGGTCCTCGCTTTGCTCCTTTTACCAAAAAATGAAAAACTCCATCGTGCATCATAAGGGCTCCAATCGTCAAAAATAGGAAAAAAATATCTTTGGAATAGCCAATTGAGTTGAATAAAAAAATCCACACGAATGCGGTTTGGTTGGGGCAGGAATCCACTCCTATGTTCCTGGTAATCTGATCCCGCTCCATGAATCCTTGCAATTCAGCCTCCCTATCCTATCCACATTATGATTTGAATCCAATGATCCAGCTCCAAGGATTGGGATCCAGTGAGCCCTCTCCAATCCAAACCTTTATAACCAGCAAAACCAAAAAAGAGGAGGCAAAAAGTTAGATACTGTAATGAAAAAATAGGATTCTGGGGAATGATCAGTTATGTTTGCCATCAATTAATACAGATGTACATTAATAACTATCAATTCCCCAAAACAAGCTTTTGAATGGTGATGCTAATTTTCTTTTTTTTTTTTCAGAAATGTTAATTATTTGGAGGAAACATCGTAATATTTACATATGTCAACTGAAAATGCCAACATACTCATTGCTCGTACGGTGGTGTGCTACAGGTTTTGTGGTTGCAAAAAATGTTTATGAAATTGTAAAAGTTTACTGCTAAAGCTATCCGCCTACTGTATGTCTAAGCTATAACTAGTACTCCCAGCTGGAAGGTAACAAAATTAACTAACTGGAGTTTTCAAGCATATTCGTCAGTCAATTGTGAATTAGTCTGAGGGGAAGGGCTGAGACTTAAATTATTCCCAACTAGGTTTTCTATTTGCGCTTTCAATTCTGGTACTTTAAAAAAAATGAAATAGCAACGCTGTATCAGTCACACAGAGGACATGCAGATTTTAGCAGTATTGATATTATACTCTGATTTGAAGATACCCTTCATCTACAAGTGTACAAATACTACGCAACATTAACACTTGTAACCAAATGCTGCATGACAAAGTAAACCAATACTCCCACCCCCGTCCCGGTTTGTTCCTTTAAAAAACTAGAATGGAATAGAGAATTACAAAAGCGAGTTATTTAGCCACAATTGCCAAAAAAAAGGTTTTAAAGAGAAGAGCAATTGTAGTCTGCAGTAACTAAAACATGCCTGAAGAAGTGACACGTAGGCGCACGTACTCAATTAACCTGTCTCTCAGTATAAGGTCAATACTGCCAAGTTCATCTGTGACAATAGCACTTGGAGTCATACCATTGCCTCCATTATTGATCTGATCCTCCTCAATCCTCCTTTTGACAATCCTAAAATGATTGACATGTGCTCCACAATCCTTTAATCCAAAGCATTCTTAATCCATCTCTTCAGATATGTCTACAGAAAGACACACGAAAAGGCAAGATAAAATATAAGATCCCCCAGAAGAGACAAGTTAGCCACAAACATCCCAACATCCCCAGCTCGTATAAACCATAGCTGAACACTGAGACATTTACACAGCAATACCACAGTTTGAAGAATGTTGGTATTTAACTAGAACTAAATTGAAACAATCCTGACTGACATCAATTAAAATACAATTTACCAAAGACATGAGGGGAATGTTGATGTTACGGAGCAAATACTCACTAGGGATTTTACACAAGAATGCAATTCAACACTTCAGCCAATTTGAATAAAACAGTTTGAAT